CCTCCCCTCCCGTCCTGGCTGACACACCTTCCCCGTGGTGCTGGCAGGTTGTAGGGACATGGTGACCTCCTCTATGTCCTTGGCTATCTGCTCCTCCAACGTGGAGACGGGGCAGACTTCACACTGCGGCCTGCAGCCTGGTCCTAGCCGAGATGCCCTGACCCAGCCACAGGTGCCAGGCAGGGCTTCCAAGAACCAGTGTCAGTGAATCCCAGCTATCTGATGCAGCCTCTGCTCGACCCAGTGCGGCCCAGGGATCCCAGAGGTTTCAGCAATCACAGAGGTGCTGGCTGCTCCAGAAGAATTCCATCTTGCCTTTTCTAATGAGAACTTTACCTCCTATCATGAGAACTCAAAAGATAATGCTAAAGTGGAGAAATCAACTATTATTATTATAAGCTTGTATACAGAGATATGGAAATAAACAGCTATTATTATTATAAGCTTGTATACAGAGATATGGAAATATGGCCAAAGAAACAGCTTCAAGTTTAAAAGGGTCACCTCTGGAGAATGAGACATAAGAAATTGGGTGCTGGGTTGCTAGAGTGACTGTTATTTTCAAAACAAATCATGTAGAACACTTTAGCCCACTACACTATGAAATGTTATCAACTTTGGTGAAAATAAAATTTGAAACAAATTGAACACAGGCCTAACCTCAATTAGCAGGTAAACAGTCAAACTAAAAATGTGTATATATTAAAACCCTGTTGAGCCACTCTGGGTTGAATCCAAAAATAATTTTTCTAAAAGATACTCTGAAAAGTTAATTACACTGTTGCTTATAATAGTGAAAACCTAGAAAAAACTACATGTTTATCAATATCCATTCCAGATATAAAAATGTTTTATATTTTCAAAGAATAAAATACTATGACAATTGAAAGAAGTAAACTAACTACATATATCAAAACATAAATCTCATATAATGTTAAGTGAAAAAGTTTGAAAAACACTATGTCCGGCCTTGTACCAGTTATACAAATTTGAAAACACATAAAGTAGATGTTTATTAACATATAAACGTAAAGTTAGATACATACTAAATCTATGAGAGAAATTACCTTGGAGTGAGAGCTACAAAATGGAACTCACAAAGGTGAGTACAGAAAGAGCACTTGCTTCATTTGTAACACTTAACAACTGTTTTAAGGAAACATGAGAAAATACTAATAACTGTCAATTCTGGATGGTGGGTACTCAGGGTTTTTACAAATGTAACCCAAATACTTTTCTGTATTTTTATTTCTCAAATTTAAAAAAACTAGATGTAAAAATGTTTTATTGGGAAATTTCAAAAATTGAATAAAAAAGAATGCAAAATAGCCCAGCGGGTTCAGTGGATTGAGCGTTGTCCCTGCACCAGGAGGTCCCTAGTTTGATTCTCAGTCAGGCCACATGCCAGGGTCTCGGGCTAAATCCCCAGTGGGGGGCATGCAGGAGGCAGATGATCAATGTTTCTCTCCTATCGATGTTTCTCTCTCTCTCTCTCTCCCTCTCTCTCTAAAAATCAATGTAAACATATTAAAAAAAGAATGCAAATACTGAAGTCTAATAACCAATGGACAATGCCCCAAAACATCAGAAAACCACCCACTAAAAGAACACAAAATCCAGCCAGATTTATGGCTGAATTCTACTCAGAAGCAATGTCCTAGCTTATCCTTCAAGGACAGCATCACCTCCATACCAGACAGCGAGGTTATTTGTATTCCATTTCTTTGGTGTGTTTACTGGAAAATTCACCTTCTTGAGGGAGGTTTATAAAAAGAGCATATTTGTGATTCAGCATCAGGAAGGCAATTTTTGCAAAATACTAAAGTTATGTGAGAAAAAAATCTTAATTTTTCAATACAATCAAGTTATTTTCAAATTAAGTGCTACACCAATTCAAAAGGGAAATTAATATCTTTTCAATTAATTATTTCAGAACTGGAAACAAATATGAAAATAAAAAAATCTCTACCTCTACTTCACACTACACCCAAAATTAAGTTGAGTCAGTTCACTTATTAAATGTAGCCACTGATAGTATCAGGCTTCCAGAAGAAAACCACAGGCGGCTATTCCCATGACCTGAAGTTAAACAACAACAAAAATTGGTTAGATACAAAGAGCACAATCTAAAACATAAAATCAATTGAAAAACTAATAATCGCCTGGCCGGGCGTGGCTCAGCGGTTGGGCGTCGACCTAGGATCCAGGCGATTCGGGTTCGATTCGGGTCAGGACACATGCCCAGGTTGTGGGCTGCAGCTGATCAAGACTCTCCCTCTCCTCTCCTCTCTCTGAAATCAAAAAAGATATATTTTTTAAAAAAAATTGATAATCGATCAATTTAACGCCAACAGAATCAAAGCCTGGGCTCGTCAAAAGAAAACATCTTCATCTTAAAGCTCGAAGTTTAAAGGTTAGTGATGTAAAAAATAAAAAGTAAAACTTCGTAACCGTCGCGTATTTTTCAATTATTTGCTAACTAGGGATAGAAAACTTGTCGATGTAAACCTTCCACTGAGGATGGCTGCTAGGCGCCGCTCTACCAACTGAAACAAGTTTAAATGCTTAAAGAATAAAGCACGTGTCGGGGGCTGCACATCGCCCCCAGCGCGGGGCAGTCCCCAGGCACCTCCCCATCGTCACCAGCCCTGCGCCCGAGGGGCAGTCCCGCCCCGCCCTTTGCGCAAGCGCGGAGTTGGCGCTTGCGTGGACAATGCACTGAAGCAAGATGGCGGCGCCCAGCCTCCCGACGCCGTTGCACGGGCATGTGGGCCGCGGCGCCTTCAGCGACGTGTACGAGCCCGCGGAGGACACGTTCCTGCTCCTGGACGCTCTCGAGGCGGCGGTGGCCGAGCTCACGCGGTGCGAGGCAAGAGTCCCCGGGGGACAGGGGTCGGGCGTCCTGTGGCCGCCGCCGGACAGGAGGCGGGGTCACTCCTGGCAAAGATTGGCACCGGAAGCCGTCACCGAGGATCCCCCGGAGCAGCAGAAGCGAGCGCGCCGGGGTCCGGCCGGTGTCGCAGCCCTCACTGCACCGGGCGGAGTCCTGTCGGGTCAGCCGGTGACGACCCGCGCACGTGCCCCGAGCGGCAGCGACCTTACGCCACTTTGCAAAAACCAAACACCGCGAACCCGGCTTATTCACGTAGAACAGGGAAGGCGGAGCCGAACAGGGAAGGCGGAGCCGGGTGTCGCTCCGTTTGCACAAAGGCGCCCTCTGGCGACCCAAGGGCGTAGAAACGAAGCGAGGTGGCGACCGCGGGGCGGGCAGGGTTTTTGAAGCTGCTGATTAACCTTCTCGAGGCTGAGAGGTGCGGGCGCGGCCGCGGAACTGAATTTTCAAGTAATCGTAAAAACTAGTTACAGGCAGCAGGTAGCCTACGTAATTTTCCCTAGCACCTCGCAAATAGCAAAATTGACCTGTTGAAATGCTCACTATAAACCTTAACAAAAAATAGGTGTGCATTGTAAATTATTTAATGAAGGGAATTTGAGTATTTAGATGTATTTAAAAATCGGTGGTTAGAGCCTGGGCCATCGGACTGAAGGTCGCTGGTTCGATTCCGACCAAGGCCACTACCTCGGTTGCAGGCTCCGTCGGACCTGGATGTGTCTCTCCCTCTCCCTCCTTCCCCTCCACTCTCTGAAAAGCAATGGAAAAAATAACCTTGGGTGAGAATTTTTTTTTAAAAAATCAAGACTTGAATTGGGTTTTCTCAGGATGAAACAGCTGTCAGGCTTCAAAGATCTATGTGCTCATCCCTCTTAAACTTGGTCGGATTTTTCCATGTTTAAACAGCCCAACTCTTATTAAACGTTTTTCATTTTTGATTTACTGGAATATAGAATATAACACTACTGTTTTATAACTCAGGATATATCAAAGATTTACAAGCACAAATTGTGTTCCGCAGTATGCTGTAAAGCTAATTTTGTTATAGTCTTGTATATTTCTGGTCTTGGAATGTTAATTATTTATGAGACTAAGTTTTTTTCAAATAGAAGCCACTTGGTTAGATTTAATAAACCTTCCTACACCATAATAAAGGCTTGTCAGATATATGGACTGGTTTGCAAAGTTAGAAACCCTTAGAGTTTGTTGTTGGGTAGGTTTGGGGAGTTAGGGATTAGTGAAGCGCCTAACTCCCATCAAACCTACTTCTGTAATGGAGATAATTGGTGCTTTTGATATATAAAGGGTGTCCCAAAAAATGTATGCACACTTTAACAGCTGATAGCTCAATTCTTTCCTTCTTTTCAGATTTAACCCATTGGAATTAATAGTTATAAAAAGTATACATGCATTCTTTTCAGGATACCCTGTATTTGCAGGTGTGATAATGGAGAAATAAAAGTAGCATGAGAGTTATTTTCTGTAATGTGTGTTTTAATGCTACAGTACTAATATCACTTTATTTTGTGTTTTAGAGTGGAAATATGCCTGGAAGTAGGGTCAGGGTCTGGAGTGGTATCCACATTCCTAGCCTCCATGATAGGTCCTCAGGCTTTGTACATGTAAGTTTAAGAATATCAAAGTAATTAACATCTTTCACTAAGAGATTCACTCTAAATACTGTGTTGCTTGAATGAAATCATTTTTGTAAGTAGATGATATGTATCTGATGGTGTCTAAGCCTAGTAAGGAATCAGAATGCAGATTAATTTCCCTAAAAATTGTAACTGTATGTTCAAATCTGTCCCATCAGACTGGCTAATTAAAGAAGTGGCATAAGAATTTTAGGTCATCTCTAAATTTGAATTTTTTTGAAAGTTTCCAGAATTTCCCTTGAGAAAATTTGAGAATATAGAAATTATAAGTTACCTATAAATTTTACATGATCCAACTGTTGATTTTTTTTCCATTTCCTGTGTTTTTCAATTAACATCATATCATGAGCATTTTCCTTTCAAAAATTCCTTTTACATTTCATTTTTGATGGCTGCATAGTATTCCTTCATTGGATTCATAATTTAATAAAATCCTTCAGATGTGTCTTCAGTTATGTGTATTCTTCTTGCACATCATTATCAGTATAACAGCTTCTTTCATCAATGTAACAAATCTTTGTTCTTTTTCTGCCATTATTAAAGCATTCAATTTTTCCCCCCTAAATCTGCTCCATTCAAAATAAATGGAATATTCATTGAATTTTTCAGTAACACACCTGTCTCGTGGGCGTGGAATATAGTTTTCTTTCTTTTCTGTTTGTAGGTGCACTGATATCAACCCTAAGGCAGCAGCTTGTACCCTGGAGACAGCACGCTGCAACAAAGTTCATGTACAACCCATAATTACAGATTTGGTGAGCTGTTAATCCTTGCCCAATAATAATTAATTTCCTTTTCAAATAAGTTAAGGTCAAGATGATTTATCAAAGAAACTTGAGTGCTTTTTAACCCACTAAGCAGTATACCTCATAGTTTATAATAGATTAAATTCTTGACTGATACAGTCCCTTTTGTCCACAATTCACAAGGAATTTCTTTTGGCTTGTATGCATCAGGCATCTGTCTCTCACTGTGACAGAGAATGCAGTTCAAACTGGCTTTAATAGAATGGGTGGCTTCAGGCACAGCAGACTAGGAGCTCAAATGTTACAGGCATCTTTTTCTTAGGTCTGAACTTCTCTCTAGGGGCACTGCTCCTAGGCAGTCTTCCTCAAGGTAGCAAGATACTTGCATGTCTGTGTCTTATTTCTCAGCAACCCCTCATGGAAAGAAACCCTTTCTACTCAGTTAATCTAGCGAAAGTCCCAGAATGAGTTTAGGTTGGATCAGTTTGGGTCATATGCCTCTCTCTCAATCTTATGTTTCCTATCCTCTCATAAAACATTTCTCTTGGTTATAGAAAATAAATGTTTGGTTCAGAGGCTACAGCTGTAAAGTGTGTTGAGATCTGTAATAGAACTTATGTACGGATTAGACCTTCCTTGTTTTATTTTCCGAAAGTGAATCTGAGTGTAAACATGTGAACTGCTAAAGAGCCGAGACTCCTGAACATCTTCATTCTCATAAATAATCTAATTCCCTTATTTTTAGGTAAATTCGTGTAATCTTTATCTGAATGAAATATAAAAGTATTACTCTCCATTTGTTTACTAGTGTGGCCTTTTAACATCTTTTTGTTTTCTTTCTAAAAACATGAGAGATATTTTTAAAGATGTTTAATTTATACTTTGGCTTAAAAGTCTGACAATTGTTGAACATTTAGGTCAAAGGCTTGCTACCAAGACTGAAGGAAAAAGTTGACCTTCTGGTGTTTAATCCCCCCTATGTAGTGACTCCACCTGAAGAGGTAAGAAATATCACAAAATTTAATTATTAATACTATCTGTTCTTTTCTTTCTATATTCAAGTGAATTTCATCAGCTGCTGAGTAACAAACTGCTCTAATTTTACTCCTAATTGTCAATGATTGAGGACTGTTGGTAGACATAGGAAAGTAACCTAAAACTAATGGAAATACAAACTGACCCATCTCCACCCTTTAAAATCCCATTCAGATCAGGCCCTGGCATTTAAATTCGTGTGTGTGCCCACCCTTTATCATGAAGGACAAATATGCAGAACAGTTTTTTTAATCACCCTTAAATTCACCTAGGAATTCTTTTTCAAAGTCTCAGGTTTCCTCCTTTCACAGGAAGTAGGGGTGGGATGGAAAAAGGAAATCATGAAGGTGAAAGACACTTAGAGGTTAGACCTGATAGTAGTAATAGAAATGCACATAAAAAGCTGTGGCTGTACTTACTAGTGTATCTAGACACATGAGGTTGGGCGATGCTGGGTGTGCCAGGGACCTGGGCAGAATCAAGAGCTGGCACAGCAGTGAGCCCAGGCAGCAGACCAAGAGCAGTCATCAAACATGACACCTCCCTCATGATGGACACCTCCCTTCTCTGGCTCCAAGAATGTGGTTGGCACCAGCTGGTCTTCCTGGAGGGGCACCTCCAGTGCAAGCGCATAAACCTAGCAGAGCATCCCTAGGGAGGCATATAACAGGGTCCAGCACAGAGGGCTCCTGTCCATCCTGGAGCAGAATGACAAGAGACAGGTCTGGCCAAAGCTGCCATCCCAGAAGCCTGTCCACAGACCTGATGAAACATCCACAAAATGGAGTCCACTGAAATAAGGGAGTAAACCGAGGAAGACATGAGTCCAGAAAAAAGAATTACAGTGGTACCTCGGTTTTCGAACATCTCTGTTGACGAACATTTCGGTTTACAAACTCCATAAACCCGGAAGTAAATGCTTCGGTTTTCCGACACGCCTCAGATGTCACTCCTCTGAGGAGGATCCTGAGGCCTAGCTGTCAGCTATTGATCCCTCGGTTTTCCAACATTTCAGAACTCAAACGGTCTTCCGGAACGGGTTACATTAAAAAACCGAGGTACCACTGTATAGGAATGCCAAAATGGAAGTCTCTAGGAGAAAAGTCTTGACAAAAAAGGAGGAACTGGTAAATTTCCTAAAATGATTAACTTTGTGGAAAGTTGTATATTGAGGGGCCTATGATAGATATGGGAATAACTTAAATAGATACAAAAAAATTAAGCAAGTGGACACATTGAATGTTCATCAATAGCTGAATGTGATTATTTTCCACAGTAAAATATTGTGCAGTCATTAAAAGCAAATTAGAGCTCTACTAGGTCACAAGAAGAGATTTTCATAAGGTATTGTGTAAGAAATGAAAAATGCACAGAAGAATGTAGAATATAATCTTTGTAAAACATGGACAAGAAAGCAAAAGTGTGTGTGTGTCTGTGCACGCGTGCACCTGTGTGAACGGGGAGGAGTAGAGAAGCAAAACATTGAAAAGTTCTTTAAAGCAGGTATATGAACATATTTCTCTTATTTGTAAAATTTATATGGTTATAGGTATAAAGAAATTATTTCAAATGGGAAGCATATGCCATATTGAATAAAAGTGGAAGTTATGTTTGCGTTAAAATAATTTAAATGTGGACAAAAACCAATGAGGGAAATAGAAAATACTTGTCTTAGGGCTAGTTTTTGAGTGATTTCTTCAGAGTATTCTTTAGTTTTGAAAACAATATACAATGGTAAGGATTTAAAGATTTTTAATACTGTATAAACTCTGAGTGTTGTTTCTGCAATAGAATTAGATTGTTATTGGAAAATAATGTGTTCCTGATAAGGGCTCTAGGACAGTTTAACCTAGAAGAGAACCAGATGCAGTGGGACATTTGGAAACTTTGATTCACTTGCAAAGTGAATCTCTTACAATACAAATTCCCCCCTTCTAGTTTCTTCCCATCGTTCCATGTAAGTATAAGAATTACCTAGGTTCAGGGCACTGTATCAAAACTTTGTATTTCCTCATTTTTTCCCTAACAGTAGACAAAAATAATTTAATCATGTTTTCTACCTTTATAGTGAGAAATGCTTGTTTTCCTAATTTTACAGATAAGGAAGGAAACTAATTCACTGATTACAAATTTACAGAAGGTCACAAGGCTAAGAAATGGTGGGGCTCAGATTAAGATATACTGCCTCCTGGACGTCAATGAAATACAAAATATATACTTTGGTGAATGTTACTTGTCAAAAAGATTAAGTTTGTGACTCTAAATGTAACTAGACTTGAGTCAAAACAAAATGATCTTTCTAATTGGTCACAGGTAGGAAGTCACGGAATAAAGGCGGCTTGGGCCGGTGGCAGAAATGGTCGTGAAGTCATGGACAGATTCTTCCCACTGGTTCCAGATCTCCTTTCGCCAAGAGGGTTATTCTATTTAGTTACCATTAAGGAAAACAATCCAGGTAATACAGACCAGTTTATCTGTTAAACATTGGCTTTGCTGAAATCAGAAGTTAATAATGTCAGACTATAATTTATAAAGTAACCTGGAACGTTAGGAATATAATCACTGACAACAGATAATGCAGGCAACACGTGTTGAAAGAGGGATTTGTAAAAGATTGATTTGAGGGTTTAGAAAGTGTTGCCTTGGGGGATAGGGGCAGTTTTCCCCTAATTCCTAAACTATTACTCAGATACAGAATCTGTAATTCTTTCTTCTAACACCCCCCCTCAATATTGTGAATTTTCCCTCCTCCTCTGGTTTTCATGCCCTTGATAACTCTGCTCTATGCCGTTTGCTCACTTAGAGTTTCATCTCAAAAGCTACCTCATGGATGGGTCCTCATACCTGAGGTCAGGCTACTTTGTAGCTAAATTGACCTTAATCTTTCTTTTTCCGAACACCTCAGTTTGACTGTTTACATTATACCTTATATCCTCTGCCCCTCAGATCACATCAAGATTACTAGATTTTGGGGGGTTTTTGTAACTCCATTTTCTTAATTCCGTCTTAATGTTACTTTTTTTTTTAAAGGATTTTGCTTTTTCCAATATGTCTAAAAGAAATAAGCTACTTTACTTACTACCACTGTGCCATGTTACTGTACAGTTGGCCCAACCCTTCATTCACGTTTTTTATCCAAAGGGAAGGATATAGGCAGAGATTGGAGCTAAGTAAGAAAAAAATTAATTATTGCTGTCATAACAAGTATAATTAATATTTCTGTTGAATCCAGGGTAGGCTCCGCTACAACGCAGGCCATTCAGTCTGATTAGAATGCTCAGCAACACCAAGAAAGTGCAAAGTGATCCCACTTGTCTGAAGCCCAGGTTCACTTTAATAGACATTTGCTTGGTGTACGTTGTTTTCTCAGATGGCTGTACTTTGTAAATAGTCTGTTTATTATTCATTAAACTGTTAGTAATTATATACACTTTGCCAAATGATTCAATTGGATTTTACCTTTTGTTTTAATTTTCATTTTAGAAGACATTTTGGAAACAATGAAGGTGAAAGGTCTTCAGGGGACTACTGCCCTTTCCAGGCGAGCAGGCCAAGAAACCCTCTCAGTCCTGAAGTTCACCAAGTCATGACACAGTGTCCGCTCTGTGTTAATATTAAACAATATGTATCACATTGAGCATAGATATGACTACATATTATACTGAATATATATGTTGAATGTATTCACCATATTTGGAAACTAAAGTCATTTCTTGGTTAACAAGTAAAATTGTCAGAAATGTGTCTCCTAGAGAAAGGTGGGAAGGCAGGTCAAGTTGTCTTTTACCTGGGAATCAAGCCTACAAAAATGTTTGCATAAACGCAAGGAGATACAAACATGTATAATTTGCATTTACATATAAAATATATTTATATTACATACGAAAGGACATTCATTTCAGCATTGCCTATAATAGCAAAACAAGGAAGTCAGCCTATTTGCCCATCATAAAAGGGTTGGTATAAGAAGTTACAGTATGTCCAGGACACCAAATGTAAATGGCATCCAGCCATCCAACAAGTCAGATCTGTATGGACTGAACCCGAAGGGGTTCATGATGTACTACTGAGTGGGGAAAATAAGCAAATTACAAAACAGTATTATTCTACTAAAGCATAAAAAAAAAAAACCCAGAAGGGTAGGTTTGTCTGTGTACATAAGAGTCTCAGAAGTCACCTGGTGGAAATGGAGGAACTTCTGCTCTTTTGTGGTAGCAGCTGCACAAGTATAGTGTATTACTTACATTATTTTAACAAGTTTGTTTCTATTTCTCCCTCTCCCTCTATTTGAAATCAATAAAGAGATACTATAAAAAGAAAGAAAATTAAATTTTTTTTAAAAAATAAATTTAAAAAATAAAATGCCTCTGCTTTTGTTCTTCTGCCTGGTGAGACTTCCCTACCTTTGTCCTTTATCACAGACTTGTCCTCTTTCCTATATACCGCAAAATACTATACGTGCTCTTAAGTCAGGGAGAACCCTGTGTAAATAAACACACCATCAAGTGGGGGACATGCCTGTCCAGGAAAGTCTAGAGGAACAAGGGTGGAGGCTTCTTTATCTGCTCTTCAAGATTAACTATAGGCATTTTTTAAAGAAAAAACCTGTGTAGAATTAACACAGATAAACAGATCAGTAGAACAGAAGAGAGCCTGGATACCAGTCCACACCCCCTGCCCCCAGGATTGGGATTTGGTGACATAAGAGGCACCATAAACATGGGGATGGGAATACTACTTAAGTGATGCTGTGAGAACCGGCTGTCAACATGGCTTAGGAGTTCCACCTTACAACAGTCACAAAACTAAATTCAGGTGAATCAGGCATAGTATTTTTTTAAAACCTCAGGGAACGAACAAAATTTTAAAGAATGACAAGTGTTACTACATTTAACTGGAAAATACACAATTAAAGACAGTCACAGACCACATTACAGTGAATCCCTGTCGCCCTGGCTGTGTGGCTTGGTTGGCTGGGCATCATCCAGTGCACTAAAGGGTTCAATTCCCGGGCAGGGCACAAGCCCAGGTTGTGGGCTCAATTCCCAGTAGGAGGGTGTGCAGGAGGCAACTGACAGATGTTTCTATCTCCCTCTCCCTTCCTCTCTAAACAATTTTAAAATTCTTTTAAAAAAAAAGTCAAGTCCTGTACTAGAAGAAGCTTGTAATGGATAGAACATTATGATCAATAAGAATATAAGTGATCCATACAGATAACAAATTCACAAAATAATGACCAATAAATACACGAAACTAAGCTACGATTCTTGGTAGCCACGTAAATATAAATGAAGACAAAGACCTACTACTGTCCCACAGCTCTGACTGGAAAACTTTAAGTGTCTGGTAGGACTGTGCTGGTGATGAGGAGGGAAGAGCAGACCTCTCGGTGCCACTGGGAGGGAGTGCAGACTGGCACTCCACCCAGAGGGCAGTTTGACAACCTCTGAAGTCACAGAGTGCAGACATCTGCTACCAGCCATTCCATTTTGGGGCATTTATCCAGAATACCTAGCACATTTGCATGGGGAAACATCAAGAATGCACAGTGCAGCCCTGTTCACAATGGCAAAAAGCAATGATCGGAATGACTGTTAGTGGGGGAACTGGCAAGTAAACTGACTTCACGTGATCTTAAAAGCAGTCATGTTGAGTGAGAAAGCAAATTACCAAAGATAACATACAGAAGGATATCACAAATATACATTTTTTAAAACCACTATATATTGCTTATGGAAACAAACACGTGGTGAAGTATAAACTCTTAAATACGAAGGAGTCCCACCAACCTCAGTTTAGCTCCAGGGAGGGAAGGAGGAGATGGCCTCAGGGAGGGGTACAAGAGAGTTAACATTTTATTTCTTTAAAAATCAGAAGCAAATATGGCAAAATAGTTTGTGAAGAGCACGAGGGCATTTATATTAGTATTGTTCTGTATATTTGACATATTTTGTAATTAAAAAGAATTTTAATGGGCACATATGGTATAACAATCAAATAACATTAATTATTCACAGCACAAAAACTGATTTAGTAATAACATTGTTTAAGCATGTAATACAGAGTTAAAAATAAATTCTAAAATTTGCAGTTTACATTAGTGTTTTAAGTTGTTAATTTGGCTAATGGGCTATGAATCTCATGCAACTTTAAAGTGTCCCGATGCTGGAATGCTAGGGGTGCTCTCTGGGATTGTCAAGCTACATAAATAAACTCAGTTAATGTGGTTCTCAATTTCAGTCTTACTTTGGAAGGCTCACTCTTCAGTATGTAATCAGTTACCAGTTTCACATTTCTATTTACAGCATCAGAGAAACGTTAAGAGTTGAAGTGTGAAGAGAGGTGTCCCACCTGGTCATCCACAGGGTTTCCAGGATCCTGGTGCCTGAATCCCACCGCAGAAACACTGCTCCCTCACTCCCTTCACTTTCCTACCTGGGGTTTGAATCAGAAGCCAAGAAATACCAATACTGGAAAAGCTATAAACAAACTCTCATTATAAAACAATTTTTAAAGAAAAAGTGTGTAACTTTCTCAGAGAAGTAACACAATCCTTTGGGATTACTATGTCAGAGAGACACGGGAAGAGAGACTATTTTAAAAAAGGGGTTAAAGAGAGGTAGTAGAATTTTGCTTCTCTATACTTCACTTACTGACTCCTGACTTTCTGAGGCCCAAGGATGTAAGATAATAAATACTCCAGAAAAAACTCAGGAGACAGACTGGGCAGGACTCTGCACCTACAAATATAACTCCAGCGATCTGAAGCTCACGTAATACTTCACTCTCGACTACAATACTCTGACCATACTCATACTATTTCAATAATAACCATTTTATCCATTTGATAGAAAGCAGTAGTTTTATTTAACATGAACTGCTTTTCGCCAATTAAACATTTGCAAGAGAGATGATTAGCTGATCTTTCAAGTGACCTTGCTGTTAGTTATGCTAATATTCCCCACGATATGGATGGATGACTGCAATAAAATTACTCCAAGTTCCAAACTTACACACTATGTTTTGGGCACAATTTTTAGGGCAATACTACTGTGGCAAAGGCAGGTTTCACCCACTCTTCAGCCTGTTATATTACATTTTACTTGGTACTAAAATTCTTAACTGGGCTGGAAAAAGTACCTTCCTCAAATCTAATGTAACATAACTTTGGCCAGTAAAAACAGTAAAAGTCGCTTACAAAATTGAAAGCTGTCTATAGCATTTAAATTTTTTGTTTGTTTTTTTCCACCAATCTTAAGTTTCAGAAATACTTATTTCCTCTCTCTCCATAGAGGGGTAAGGTAACTACCACTCTGCTTCATGAATGAAATAATCTAATTCCTGTTCTCTCAAATTCTCACTCAACTGAGTAATAAACTCATGCACAAGTCTGTAGTTCAAAGTTCAATGATACCTAGAATGTGTTCCACAGCCACGGTCAGTGTCATGGATTTAATTCCCTGAACTTCATCACTCTTATTAACAAACAGGGGCCACAGGAAGTCCAGCTGACACTCTTGAATGTAGGATTTCAGAGCATGCTTCAAACAGCTCAAGATAAGCTATATTAATAGCTTAGTCATTTTTATCATTAAAATAATCTACAAATCTTAGAATACTAATTAATTTTGTTGACGTATCTAATAAATAAGTCTTAAAATATTGATAGATATAAATCACCTCCCTTAATTCATTGGTCTCCTGGACTGTTCTAGACATTAATCAATACAATGCTTTCACAGATTCCAAATCTGTAATTTAGGGCTTTTCCATATTTATTTTTAAGTATACAGAGAAATTAAACTATTAACATATATTTTCTCTCAAATATGTAATATTCTTATGCAAAAGAAAACCAAACATTTACCAAGCGATCTGAGAGTAAGCAGGCCTGATTTTAGGGTCAGTACACTGACCAGGTAATGCTCCAGAGCAGGCCCTGTCTACAGTCTCGCTCACTGGCCTCCTCACACCAACATTTCAACATGGATCCACGCCCGCTGCCTCTGCTTTACCTCAGGGGGCACTTCCAGTGGGGAAAGACCTCAGAAAAAGGTCTCACGACAGAGTGGACAAGTGGATTTGTTGCTAGATGTAAACCATTTGTACTGAAAAAAAAAAAGGTTTTAAAAGTTAAAAGAACTTTTTGAAACGCTGTCATTTTAATATACATCTAAGTAACCTTAAAAACGACACAGTGGAAAAGAGAGAACACTGACATTTTTGCTCCTTCCTTCAGTTCATCTGAAAATCAACACAACTCAGTGTAACTGGCAAAGGCTACAGTGCAGTGCTTCCCACGAGGCTCATGCACCCCCTGGGACAGGCCGGGAGGCCTCAGAGCAACTACACATCTGTGTGACATTTTAAAAGAGCCAAGAGCTCTGATGCCAGATGGCCCTCAGCACCGGTCTTTTTTAGTCTACTTTATGGTACAGATCTTATAAGACCACCTATTTTTTGAGTGCTGAGACCTCTATTAGAAACACCCAATGATTAAAATGCCCTGATGCTACCAAAGTACTTTACTAATTACCTTTTACAGATTTTGAAAAATCATTTTAGTATGTCTCCCATTAATTACAATTAAAAGTCTATCTTTCGCCCGGCCAACAGGCTTCAGTGGCTGAGCATCGACCCATGATCCAGGAGATCACAGTTCGATTCCCGGTCAGGGCACATGCCCAGGTTGTCAGGAGGCAGTCGATCAATGACTCTCTTATCATTAATATTTCTCTCTCTCCCCCTCTCCCTGAAATCAATAACGATAATACTTAAACTAAAAAACAGTTTACCTTTCATTGTTTTCTTTTCCAAAGTTAGATATCATTCATATATAATGTACATAAAATAATAAATAAGCTAATTTCCTTTTAGACTCACCAAGCAGGCAGAGTGGAACTTTTTCTTGCACGTCCTACAGGCTTTTTTGGGAAGAGAGTAGTTGAAGCCATGGATGACAGAGAAGCAGATCATGCAGTCCTCCACCCCCTCAAAGCGCTTGTCCACGTTGCTCTTCCACAGTGCCAGGCCCTCCATGATGCTCCCATTCTGTGAACAGGGAAAAAAGAGTGAATATACAATGAAGACAACCAATTATTTTTATTCAACTTAAACAATTCTAAGGCTGAGTTATAATTGGAGAGAAGAGAATCTGTTTTGTTCCATTCACTCTTTTAAGTTTTATGAATGTTGTTTTTTTAAATGATCACCCCAGTTTTAGGAACCAGATAAACCCTTCTCCAGCAAAGACAGCTTGAGAGAAAGGCTTCTGCACTAACACTTCAAGATTAGTCTCAGCCTGTTGCCTGGCGAAACTCTTAATAAGTCAATCATTTAGATTTTTCTCCTGTTTTTTAACTGAAATGATTAATCATCTTACCTTCTAAGTTGCCGATTTGTTCTAGCCAGCTCTACAAATTGATGAATATATTTATTTTAAAATAATTTCTCTTTACTGTGCAATGTTTGCAATGTGCAAACAAAGCTAGAGACCTATAGGTTGTTTAGAAGTCAAAGGTCTTTAAAAGGAGTGGGGTTTCTGTAACCACAGAAGGAGAGTTGAAATGTTAGACTAACAGTAGCTCAGAAGACATTCCTCTGTCCAGCACCTTATGAAAAGATCCTCACTCAAACAATTTCTTTAAACCTTGTACTGCTCTGTATCATCTGTAATACCGATAGTCAAGTCAATTCCTCTCAAACACCAGAAAAATATTAAAAATTACACCTCGGCAGGTGCAAGTCATTTAAGCCTATATCTGTGCTCACCCAAGGAAACCAGAACATCCATTTCCATCTTAAGCAGAAGATAAATACATTTTAAGTTTTATTGCCATTTCCAGTGGTTTAGAGGCCAAGAGTGGGCACAGAGACCAACCTGATGGGTGAGGTAGGTGCTCAGTTGCAGCATCCAGTTCCGCCACTGCTGCACGGCTACCCCCACACGCCGCCCGCTCTCCACTGTGATGGAGCCCAGTGGGTAGTTGGAAGGCAGCTGTATTATAAGTTCAATAACTATGTCCTCGATGGTATAAGTAGCCATTACTTCTCGAGTAGTAGCTCGAGCTTTAACCTGCAACACATGAACGGTAATATTTTGTCAAATTTCTTTCCTTTCTTTCATTCAAAAAGCATTTTGATAGGTTCACTATCAGCAGCCAAAGTTTTCACTCAAAGAAAATGCAGGTAAACACATTCATCTATTTGACATGCTCTATTTAATAAATACCTGACATACAGTTGTCCCTGGGTACCCATGGGGAACGGTTGCAGGGCTCCCTCCCTTTGCCCCATGCCCCCCAGATACCAAGTTCTGCAGAGGCACAAGTCCCTCTGTCCATGGGTCCACATGCCCGGAAACCAACTCTAATTTTGATCTGTACTTGGTTGATTCCGTGGATGGAAAACCCACAGATAAGGACAGCTGACTATATTTTATAGTAATTTTATGACATTCAAAATTTGTTTTATAAGAAATTTATAAGAAATAGTATCACAAAATAGTATGTTTTGTTATATTAGGTTTACCATGTAATACAAGTCATTTTTGAATAGACAAATGACAGAAAGGGCTAATAATTACTCTTTCTCTTCCAGGGTATCAAATACCACGTCTGTTTAGATGTCTCCTGTCTCTCTCTACTGCAGAATTCTCAATTTTACAGCCTGATTCTGGTTTTATACAGTACTGCAAACTCAACATAAAAACACCAGTGACGATCCTTTACAAATGTATTCTTCTAACTTTCCTATTGTCCAGGCTAAAAAGCACATCTTAAATTTCTCCTCATGCCTCATCCCAGCTATTCACCAGTTGTAAGTCTGGATAAATTTCCACAAAATTCCTCCCCACCCCCCACCCCTTTACATTCCCACTGGCACTGCCTCACCTGGGCCTGCTCCGTGCTCACAGCACCAGCAACAGCAGGCCCCCACCTCCACCTCGACCCAGTGCATCAAACAACCTAGGCTCATGGCCAGAGCACCTGCCCAGATGGTAACTCCGACTTGTGGCTGCCTCAGAGGAGATTTGCCAGAGGTTAAATAGGACCAAATAGTGTCTCTCCTTCCCTTCGTACTACATGTCACACAGGCCAGGACCATAACTGCCAACCACGCTGCTCGCACACTAGGCCTGGCATCTGGTATCCAATATATGTTTTAGATGAACTGACGAATGTTTAAAACTACTTAGTGGGGGTTAAAGAAATTATACCACTGTTTCAAGCTATGTGTTAATATTGAGATGTGATGCACAAGAATCAGAAAACACAGTAGGCAATTTCTGTAAATTGTCAACCAACGGCCACAATTGTGGTGACACTAGCTACAAACGTCAGACACAATATCTAAACGACTTTTCTAGAAAAAAATTCAAAATTATACTAACCGTCATGCCATTAAGTAGCTGTGTACTTGTTTGCACAGAAGATATTTCTTGAAGAGAAAGAACACTGCTGACGTACTTGCTTGTAAACCTATCAACGATGTTGAAGACGCGCTTCTCGCTGCTGTTCCACCAGAGCCTGACCATGGCGGGCAGGTCCTGCAGCGTCATGTGGTAGACGGAACAAGCCAAGTGTGGGATGTGGTGCCGGAGGGTCGTCATTTCTGAGGAAAGAGTAAGTTCTCAGAAAGTGTGTTTCGTATACACAGAATAATAGACTAGTATGAGCACTTTCCTTAAAAACCCTAATTCCTCAATGTGAATGCCAAAGAAGCTGAAATTCTACAGCATCTGCTTATTCCTACGTATCTGAAATGAACCATTACAATTGCAAAAAGAAGTAACAAGAAGGTCCCAACTGACACTGAAAAATCTGCCTAGAAACACATTCTATACTTCGCAGGAAGAGTGACAAATAATATGAAACACAGATTTTTAAAAGCAGGGAAGCATACTGGTTGGAGCATCGGCCTGTGGGCTGAGTGTTCTGGGTTCGATCCAGGAAGGGGTGCATGCCTCAGTTGAGGGCTCGATCCCCAGCCCCAATCGGGAAGCGTGCAGGAGGCGGCCAGACAGTGTCTCTCTCTCAGGTGAATGTTTCTGTTTCTCCCTCTCTCCCTTCTGCTCTGAGAAGCAATGGAGAAGGGTATCCTCCGGTGAGGATTAAAAAAATTAAAAAGGAGGGAAAATTAAAGATGAAAGGAGTCTGGCTCCTTTACTCCTGGCATCACTGATGTATTTATGCAAGGTCCTAGAACACCCGCCTCAACCTCACAGTCCAGCCCTCAGAGCTCTACAGCATTTTAAAATCATTCTTAGGAAGCAACTGTAACTTTGCAGCACCACCTGTACCCTGAGCTAACATCTGGGCCCCCACAGTTAAGGAAATAAAAAACATTATCACATAACAAATACTTGTTTACAGAGTAAAAGCTAAGTCTCAACAAACTAGGCCTCAAAAATGTATTAAATTCTTAACAACCTTATCCACAAGATCTCACTGAGTGTCCTATTTAGAGGACCATGGAAAACCTTGGGCTCGGGCCACGTCTGGGGCTAGGCTGCACTCTCAGGTCTGAGCCTGTCTCCAGCAGAGCTTGTGCCGCACCCCCCCCTCACTGACCTCGGACACTCAGCTGGAGCTCTCCCGTGAAGAAGGTCTTGGGCTCCTTGCCGGAGAGCTCAGCAGCCGTCTCCGCACAGGTCGGATTTTCTGGCATGAGCCTGAACAGGTGATAGAGCAGTTTATTTAAACTCTTTGTTTTCCGGAGGTACATTGAATACAGAGCCCGAAGCTGGTGGAAAGCAAAAATCTGTTAGTAAACCCAGTTAAACCAAGACCATGAGTAGATAAGAACATCAAAGTATAACAAGCTGCACAAGAACACAATGAAAAGTCACTACTTAGAGGGCTCAGAATTACACAGAAGGGTCCCACATGACAGATGCCACCCTCTTCCTTTCCGATGCGCCATCTGATGGCACTGCCACTTCCTCACAAGCTAGCAGACGCTGTCATGACCCTCATTTTGTGACATGTGTGTCTTCCTCAAACTGTTGCCCTGGTAACAGGTTCACCTCCACTTGGAGTCTGAGCCATGAAAATCTATTCACTACTCCCCACAGGTGACTCGCTTTTTCCTCCCAAGTCTTCCACACGTTCCTTCCACATCACAGCCCTCACTCTTCCAAACTCTTTCTTAAAACAAATTCCATTTTCATGGCTGACCCCACCCTATATAAAATACTCCAGCATCCCTTTAAGACAGTGATCACAGATCAGTAGTCCAAAATGTCTGGTTTTATAAATCAGGAAATTTCACAAACAAGTAGGACTTCTGGTTTCTTTTTTAAAATAGGAGAACCTGGCACTGTTGGGTGCACTGCGGGCACCTGTGAGGCCTGTGCTTTGGAATTCCTTGCCCCTCAATGACATAGTGGTTTTCATTTGTTCATACTGACTTTGCAGCTCTTTGTACCTGTTTTAAAATGATTACTTCCCCTAACCACACAGCTCCTCACAGTATAGACGCCACTTTCTGAACACTGAGTGCCCAAATATGGAGATCGAGCCATAGGATTTGGAATTGATTCTTAACATAGGTTGTTCAAGTACCTTTACCATGGGGAGCTCTGGGAGACACTACCTTTATCAAGTAGCCACATTCAATGTCACCAATGAAATGACACTGACATGTGGTGCCTCCAGAGGTGACAGAGAGAGGACATGTCACCGCAGGGCAGTAAGCAATCCTGCTGAAAACTAACCGGAATCTAACCACGAGGAAACAGATACATCAAACTATAAGACAGTCTACAAAACAGCTGACCTGGTGAGTGACCACAAAGAGAAGCTGGGGTGTTACAGCTAAAGAAATACAAAAACAAATGCAAATAGGACCCTTGATTAAATCCTCAACAGGAAAGGAGGTAAAACTATAAAGGACATTTACTGAGAAATGTGAATACAAACTGGATAGTATTATTGCATCAAATAAATTTGAGTGTAATAGTTTTAGGTATAAGCATGTCCTTGCTCTTAGGAGATACATGTTTAAATATTTTTGGTAAATAAAGCAACACATCTGAAATAGATCAGCAGGAAAGAAGAAAATGCAGAGTAAGTGAGCAAGTGCAGCAACCTATAAAGATCTGTGGCTGCAGGAAAAGGGCACATGACCTCACAAGTTAGTCTTTCTACTTCTCTGTAACTTTAAAAATTTTCAAAATATAAAGTAAAAAGAATTTTTTAAAATTAATCATATATATCAATGGTCTTTTAAAGACACATATATTACCTAGCAATCCCACTCCTAAGTACACAACACTAGAGAAATGAAGACATGTCCACACACACGCACATATAGGAAGGTTCACAGAGGTTTCACTCACAACAGCCAAAGAGTGGAGACAATGTAAATGTTCATTAACAGATGCATGTGCTAAACTCACATTTTGGTATATAAACAAAATAGGGTATATTCTTTCCTTTTTTTTTCTTTTTCATTGATTTGAGAGAGAGAGAAACATTGACCTGCTGCTCCACCTATCCATACATTCACGGGTTGATTCTCACATGTGCCCAAACTGGGAACTGAACCCACAACCCCGGTGCATCAGGACGACACTGCAACCAATGAGCCACACAGCCAGGGCAAGAGCCATGTTTTTTTATTTCTCACCCGAGGATATTTTTCCCATTGCTTTTCAGAGAGTGGAAGGAGAGAGAGAGAGAGAGAAACATCAATGTGAGCGAGACACATCAACTGGTTGCCTCTCACATGAGCCTCCAACTGAGGTACTTCAGGCCCTTGGCCTGAATCGAACCTGGGACTCTTCCGTCTGTGGGCCGACTCTGTAACCACGGAGCCAAACTTGCTAGGGCAAAATATGGTATATTCTTACAATGGAATATTATTCAGCCATAAAAAGGAATCCAGTGCTGACACATGCTGCAACATGAATGAGTCTTGACGACATTATGCTCAGTGAAGGAAGCCAGGTGCAAAAGGCTACATACAGGGTGTCCCCCCAAAAAATGTATACAGTCCTAGCCAGTTTGGCTTAGTGGTTAGAGCATCGGCCTACGGACTGAAGGATATCCAGTTTGATTCTGGACAAGAGTACGTACCTTGGTGGCAGGCTCAATCCCTGGCACTGTTGGGAAACGTGCGGGAAGCAACCAATCACTGTGTCTCTCTCACACCGATGTTTCTCTCCCTTCCACTCCAAAGGTAATGGAAAAAATATCCTCAAGTGAGGATTAAAAAAAAAAAAAAAAGAATTAAAGACTATGGAGAATACATGGCAACTTTCCTTTTGAAAAAAAAAAGGATACACACTTTGAATAATTATTCATTCCAATGGGTTAAATCTGAAATGTCAGCTGAGCTATCTTAAGTGTGTATACATTTTTGGGGGCACCCTGTATATAAAATGTGCACAACTGGCAAATCCAGAGACAGACACAGATTACTGTTTGCTGGGGGATGGAGGGTTTGAGAGAAAATGGGAAGTGATGACAAATGAGTGAGCGTTTCTCTTTTGATCATTAAATATGTTCTAAAATGAGACAGTAATGACAGCTGCACAATTCTATGAAAATATTAGAAACATCAAACTATGATTTCAAACAGGTACATTGGATGGCATGTGAACTATGTCTCAGTAAAGGAATCTCTCTCTCTCACACACACACACATGGCTTTGGTTTCAGTTCAGTTGGATTTACTAGTTTTTTGAGAAGTTAAAAATAACCCAGACTCAGGACTGATTAAGGTTTTTCGTGTGTTTTTTTAAATTCTGTTATGGGATTCATCTAATTTTTGTTATTTGGTGTGTTACTCTGGTTTACCTGCCATAGCTCAGTTCAGGTTCCAGGCTCAGTGAAAGCTGCTAGGTAACAATTCTTTGTGCCCCTCCCACACTCTGGCTTAATGAAAAAGATGGTGGATGGCCATTTTCCAAATTTCTGAATCTATGATGACACGACAAAAATTCCTACACATACAGGCCTCGATTTGGTAATTTTATGAGATCAACAATATTTTAATAAACAAATGTAAAAGCCCAACAATGAGCTCTTGAAGTTTATCATAAGCAAATAAAACTAGCTCAAGTCAGGTAGGTGACAAGCCTAAAGAGAACTACAGTGATTTCAACATCTGGATCAATGCTGTCCCTGCAACTTGATTTTCCCCCTATAGATGCAAATGCAAAGATGCATATGTTGACATATTTGTACCCAGATATGGTTATTTGCAACAACATAACTATAAGCATTCTGAACAATCGCATCAGAAACGAATGCCATACACTCTCAATATGAAGGGATAAACTAGGTCCTTCAGTGTTGACCTATCAAAGGAGCCAGGTCTCTATTAAACTGATTCAATCAAAGCTTGATAGAAATTTTCAAAGTCGGTATCTACCTAAAAGAATGAATGAATAAATAAATAAGTAAATAAATAAAAAGTGAGTGAATAAACTAACTGGGGTATATTTTCCAAGGTTCCTTCCTAAATATGAGGCAACAGGGACATCTCATGGCTGCAGAATAATTGTGGCAAAATTATTACTATTGGATATTTTCACCATTTAGCGACAATAGCTCGAATAACGTAAGTAATGTGTCACAGCCTTCCTCTAAACACGGATTTCTAAATAAGGTGAATTTCCTCAGGACAGAGCTGTCACATGGTCACTGACCTGAGATGAGGCAGCTTTAAAGAAAGTGAGTATTAACTTCCAGGTGAGGAGGTAGCCCAGAACACAGCAGAAGTCTTCGCTCAGTGGCTTGATGGTCACTATCTGTCCGACAGGAACGCAGCCCAGGATGCCTTCGAGCAGGTCCTCTTGAGTATGAAGCAAAGACATCAGAGCTGCTGGCGGGGACCTAGAATGATGAAATACCCCAACTTGCTTCATGACTCATCCCCAAACAAACTGACAGCGTGTATGAACTGCAAACATTTTAGAAAAACCTTTCTCTATTTTCCAAAAAATATTTTAAAAGTCTCCTTCTATATCGCCCTGCCAGGCGTGGCTCAGCGGCTGAGCATCGACCTAGGATCCAGGCAGTCAGGGTTTGATTCCCAGTCAGGGCACATGCCTGGGTTGCGGGCTGCAGCCAATCAATGACTGTCATTATTAATGTTTCTATCTCTCTCTCTCTATCTCCTTTCCTCTCTCTGAAATCAGTAAAGATATATTAAAAAAAAACAAAACAAAACTCTCCTTCTATAGATTTAACTTTAACTCTTAATTTCCCATAATGGCAATTATGTAAAATGAAAGACATAATTCATATTATATAAATATGTCTTATACCTGAAAATATATTATACATTACATATTTCATGTTTATAAATATATAAATACATTACATATAAAATATCAAATATCTTTAAGTATATAAATTCCATAATTATGTATTTTTAAAATGTTAAGTGCTATAAAAATACAAACTATAGAAGTTACCACTTATAAAAAAAGACCCTTTTAGAAAACATCTGGTTCAACCTTCTGTTTTGTAGATGAAAAAAGTCACACACATAGAAAAGCTAAAATGACTATGGTCGCTCAGCTAATGGGGGAACACAAGGGCCGCCAAGTCCTACCAGGTCTTGTATCACCTATGAGACAACAGACTATCTTCTCAGGAAATTTAGCATTCCCATCAACTCACGACAACGAAGTGAAACGAGTTCTAACTACTGCTTTCAGACACTTCCAGGTGACACCAAGAGATTTGCTGCAAATAACATCCTGGTGGGAACCCTGCAGAGCCCTGTTCTCTCCTCACCTGTGCTCTCCTTCCCTGGGGCTCCCTTCTCCCACCACACATGGGTCTCCCACTTCTGCATTGTTTCTTCCAACACCACACCTCACACACAGCCTCTCTCCATTCCATGCAGTGGTCACTAGAGCTCATAGGTACCAGCTCAGCTCTCTCCCCACTGCATAGTCTCCCCTCTGCATACCCCTCCCCCATGCACACCCTCCACTCTGCACACCCCTCCACTCTGCACCCCCTCCACTTGACACACCCTCCACTTTGCACTCCTTCCCCTCTGCACACCCTCCACTCTGCACATCACCTCCACGCATGTTATGATGTTTGGACTGGTCTCAACTTCTGCTTGCTTCTGTGTACAACTAAGGATTCATACTATTGTCCAAATCAGCTGGTGATAACCCATTTTCTACCAAATAATGCCCAAATCCTAAAAAATTGTCATTGGTAAGTTCCCTTCTAGCTATGTCTTCCAGTACATCCTCCCCTCCCCCCAACTTCTATACTCATTTATTTATTCTTTCCTTCAAAAATGAGCAGCACTCATGAGTCTGCTTTGGGCCAGGAACATTCTGGATGCTATGAATATAACTGAGAACAAGAGACAAAACTCCCTGCCTCCCCAGAGCGTATGTTCCCGTGGGAGAAGGTGCAGACAAAAGAACACGTGTCAGGTGGTGGCCACTCACCACTCCCAAGCACAGCCCGGCCACTTCTGCCTCCTGCCTTTGCACACAGGGCTCCCCTAACCTGCTTGGTCTTCCTGCCCTGCCAGCATGCTGCCCAACCTGAAGGGTCCAGCACAAATGTCTCTTCCACAGCAGGAAGTCTTTCCTTCCTGGCGCACAACAGGGGTGCATAACAAGCTACCCATCCTTCTTAGCGCCTGTCGAACCCTGGCTTCTATCATAGATAGCGCTGTCCATGTGACACTGCAAGCTCCTTAACACAAAGAACGTTTACTAAGCACTGTATTCTCTCCCTCAGCACCAAATCAACATTTTACACAAAATGGGTGCTCCACTGGTATCTGGCCACAAAAGCTACCATGTGGCCAAAAGAAATTTTACTAAATAGTAACAAACTAAAAATATGGTGAAGGAGCAATTAAGATGAGAGAGAAAGAGTCTTTCTGGGTGAACTCTAGGGTCTATTCACACCTTACAGGTGACTTTAAGAGACCTGGGAATGAACATACATCTGTGTTTAGAGCTTCTGTGTCACCTCAGTCTTCTAAAGTCATTACAAGTGAGACAGGTTATGAGTGTATAAAACAAATTATTAAAAAAGCTCACAGGGCTGGTTCTTCCTCTTCATCTCCATCTGCCTTGAGATTATCCTGATCATACTGTGGTAATTCCGGCATCAACCTGGAAATCAGAACATTACTTTAAGTTATTTTATTTTAAATTGTCTGGTGTTAAAAATCATGCTTAAGAGCAGAAAGACCAATACTTATTTTGGAATGAATATATTTTTTAATGTTTCTGAATAACTACCTATGGCCAGGATTATCTAAATGCAAACTATATGGAGAACACAATGAAAAAAGATTAAGAAACTTGGTGTTCTCGTCATTAAAAAAATGCACGGCGAAGTTCACCTCGCTTTTGTTTGTTTCTAACTTTGATATTTTTAATGACTAGGAGTTAACACTAAATATATATTCCTCTTTTTTTTTTTTTTTTTACAGCCCCCTAAGGTGTATTCAGAGTCTTACTTGTACAGCATATGATAAACAGCAATTTGCACAGGCCGAGCTCTGAAGAGGAGTAGTGGGGCGAGTGTGTTGAGCAAAGTTTGGAGATGTCCCGGCAAATTTGATTTCTGGCCAGCAAACAATCTTGCAGGGAGTTTGTGACTCAACAGCTGATCCTTTGGGACATATGTTAATGTTTCACACATGGGCTTCAGCACTGCATTTGGAAAGGATGTTTCCGACGTATCTTTGCTTTCTCCTGGTAACAAAATGGGAAAAAATGTCCATATCCCAAAGCAAAATGAGAAATACAGCTTGATTGGTTCACAGATAATCAAATGTTATTAAAGAAAATGAGCACTGGCTGGTGTGGCTCACTTGGTTGAACATGATCCCATGCACAGAGAGGTCCCCAGTTCAATTCCCGGTCAGGGCACACAACCAGACTGAGGGCTCAATCCCCAGTAGGGAGTATGCAGGAGGCAGCCGATCAATGTTGATGCCACTCAGCAATGTTTCTATTTCTCTCTCCCTCTCCCTTCCTCTCTCACTAAAATCAATAAAAACATATTTTAAAAAAATTTAAAAACTTGACAAACATTAGACCAACTATAACTAGAAACATGAGCTGAATGTATATGACATTTATAACCTCAACTGTTCAGTGACTTCTATTATCTAATTTTTAAAAAAGAAAGAGGAGCCTGGCTGGTGTGGGTCAGCAGTTGAGCATCGACCTAGGATCCAGGAGACTGCGGTTCTCAGTTCAATCCCCGGTCAGGGCACATGCCTGGGTTGTGGGCTCGATCCCCATCAGGGGAGTGCAGGAGGCAGCCAATTAATGACTCTCTCATTATTGATGTTTCTATCTCTCTCTCCCTCTCCCTTCCCCTCTCTGAGTTCAATAAAGACACATTAAAAAAGAAAATGTCTGAGCTATAACCATCTATCTTTGTTATCTGATTACTCCCACTGAAATTCACAATGGTCTTTGATGCCTTGCCATTTTTCATTCTCATCATGACTGCGCAGATGATGGTAACTGAGATATTTAAACGTCTCTCTGGCTAATCTTCTACTCCTCTTTATTGTCTGACTTAAACATCCAAAGATGCCATTTTGAATTTTTTGACAAGTCGTTTTTAATGTCTCTCACATCTCACAATGACACCCTTTTTTACTTGCCTGTAACAGTCACCAAAAGAGGTAAAAGCAAACTGTGGATTCCTTGGGAAAAAAATTCTTTCCATTCGCTGACTAGATTTGCAGGGAGATTGCCAGCGGTATCTGGAGTTGTGGAATCGAAAAAAGCACTGAGCTCACAGGCCAAGTCACAGCTGACACAGGCAAACAGTTGCACCAGTGGGACAGAGCACAACGCATAATTTTCCCGTGTGGTCTGAGAGACAGAGAAAGAGGTGAGCAGACCTCAACCAGAATCAAGGCACTATAGAGATGCCCCTTTCATTTCTCTACATTTTAAAATAAAAAGCAGCTGTAATATATAATCTCAGGAAATGTTAATAGAGTTTACATCAAAATGATTTTTTTCCAAATGAAATACTAGAAATTAGAATCAAACCAATTATCATAAAATACTTTTTTTTATTTCTAAAATCACAAAAGAAAGTATCATCAATGACCATTTACCAAAATAAATACGTTAAAGACACATTTATGATCTCAGGAGCCTACTAATTGGGCATTATTAAATTATTTTAAAATAAGGAGGCTCAGCCTGGCCGGTGTAGCTCAGCGGTTGAGCATCAACCAGGATCCAGGAGATCACGGTTCGATTCCCGGTCAGGGTACATGCCCAGGTTGCGGGCTCCATCCCCGGCAGGGGGTGTGCAGGAGGCAGCCGATTAATGACGACTTTCTCATCATTGATGTTTCGATTCTCCCTCTCCCTCTCCCTTCCTCTCTCTGAAATCAATAAAGATATATTAAACATTTAAAAAATAAAGAAATAAACATAATTGAGTTTAAAAAATAAAATAAAATAATCAATCAATCAATCAATCAATCAAGGAAGCTGAGACTCCATGTTCAAGCCCCAGGCCATAAGGCACATGGCACACAGCACACAGCGGGCAAGGCAGAGACTCAGGGCAGTTCCACCCTGCCCGGCCGCAGTAACAACCAGACAGAGCAGGTTGCCCTGGGTCACAGGAAGAGCCCAGGTTCCCTGGGACTGCCTTATCGTTAATGCGTTAGTTGTTCTGCCAGTACTGACACAGTGTGCTTGAAGAATACTTTACTTTGAACCAAAAAGTCCAAAAACCTTCTCGTGGAAAGATCAAACCAGGAAGGGCTGTGCAGCAGATGCTACATTGACAATGAGCTAACAGAACGCACAGTTTAACAGCAGCTGGAGACCTGGTCACTGAATGACTCTGGCAGGTGTTAAACCTCCGTCATTCCACTGCCCTGTGAGATGGCAGCTGGCGAGTTCATCTAGAGGCGCTGATCGCCGTCATAATTACACTGCACAAACGGCCGGCAGTTCTGGCGCACAGACATGCACAAAGACCAGCAGAGGTCAGGAGCCCTGGTGAGCTTACCTCCAGCCAGGCCAGCATGGAGCACATGATAAAGTCCCATTCACTCTCAGCCAGAGGAGAGGAGCAGCACTTCAGAAACAGGGAGAGGAACCGCACAATCTCTATGTTGACTCCCAAGATCTCTGGGCTCACCTCTGACAGATCGCTGTGACAAAGAAAAAAACAAAGCAGAGCGGAAAAGCATTAAAGAATGACACAGACATTCTATCAGACAACACCCCACTTTAGCCCCTACTTATAAATGAGCGATGTCAATGTCTACCACCCTATCACTCTACAGAGCTGAGACTATAAGATACACATTCTGCATCCAGACTGTACATAGGGAGGAAAACACTGCATAGAGCATCACCTACCAACTGAAAAGAAAAATGTCTTCGTGGTCTTTCTTCCAGCACATCAGAATTCTTAGTATCCCATGTAATAGTTCTCCATCGTCAATGCTTCTCGTTCGCAGACAAGAATTTAAAATGGCAAGATGTCCAAAACCTCCTGAGGAAAATACAAAGTGAGAATTTAAAAATTGTAAGTTGTGTTATTGATACTATAAGAAAGTCTCCTTTGAGGTAGATGAAAACTTTGAGACGTGCCATGGGTAGAGGGGGTGCAAGGGGCACTGACCCCCGTGCAGCAGAAAATCTGCATATGACGTTTGACTCCCCAAAACTTCCAACCCCCCTCTATATCGCAGGGAAATGGTTCTAGGACCCCATTCCCCATGGACACCAAAATCTGTAGATTCTCAGGTCCTCTATATAACGTTGCCTGGAGCACATACCCTCGATCTCTACATTGCAGGTTCCCAACCACAGATCGGAAATACCCACGGCAGGTAGAGGAATCTGTACATTTATTGAAAAAAACCTGTGTAAGAGTGGACCCTGCCGCTCTAAACTGTGCTATTCCAGGGCCAACTGTGTGATGCATTTACCCTTCCTTTAAAAACAGAAAAAGTTTTTTTTTTAATTTTCCTGGCAAAACAAGAGAGACTCAAGGTACAGGGTGAGCAAAAGTAGGTTTACCATTGTTCATATGGAAAACAATACAATAATTATTAAATAATACAATAACTGTTTCGCATACTCACAACTGTACACCTACTTTTGCCTAGCCCTGTACAACCAGAAATAACTGATTTTCCAACAACTGAAAGTATTTGTTAGCTGATCTTGTCTCATCAGTTTGCCTAAAAGAACAAAGCTGGTTGTCAAATACTGGAAACGTCTGCCCTCCCGTGTCCCTCCTGTCAGGCCTCCACAGGCCCGTGCACCCCCAGGTCAGGGACAGCACTGCCCTTGTCCTCGGGTGCAGCCTGTGCTGCAGGAATCACCTGATCCCACCGGGCACTCTTCTTCTCCACAGGGTCGGGTCAACAGCATCCCTTCCAGAACCACAAATCCCAACCCAATCCCACAGTGGACTCTAAGTGAGCACAGCAGGAAAGCTTGATGCCACAAAAACTTATGGTTGACACCAGCCACTCATGGGTGCCTTACGGCAATTCCTTTAGTGTTTGTTGATCGGCATGTCTTCTTCCATTACTTCAAATGCTCACTCCGTAAAATCTACAATGCAGTTTCTGCTCTATTAAATGACCGGCTTGGAGAGACCTGAGCCTGTCAGTAGGAACACAGGAGGTTCCCAACCCCAAAACAGGCACCTGCACTCACCCCACACCTGGCCTCACCTCGTCTCAGGAAAGCTACCACCTTCCACCTCTCGCCCTCCCTCGCCTGCTTACTGGGAACTCCACTGAGTACTCTGTCTCGGTTTCCTGTCCCTCCTCTCCCTATGTGTGTCCCTCTAAGCTTGAATAATCCCCAGCTCCCACCTTCTTTCTACCACCCTTTCTCCAAACACCTACAACAGACTGTCCACCCCACTTTCTCAGCACAGTCACTCCAATGACAATGCCAACAGACATGTCAATCCCTGATTTTATCTCACCTCTGTGGCGTGTACCACAGGTGTTGGATGTTACCCAAAAGCCCTCCTCTGCTCCTCTCCATCTCCAGTTCCTGTTCTTCAGCCTCCCTCTACCCACACACCCTTCAAGTTCTGCGCTCGTGGCTCCCCTGACCCTGTGCCTGAATAAGCTCACCCCATGACAGATTTCACCACCTCCACATGACTCGAGAGCAGTATCTACACCCAGTCAACAGCCTGCTGAGCACTGAAAACCTCCGTCTGAATACTCATTCCACAGGCACCTGCGTCCCACTTGTTTAAAGCTTGGCATCAGCTCCCTGTAAGCTCCTCCCCACCCTCCTAACTCTCAGGTGTCCTATGGGGTTTTCTATAAGGGCTAAAGGTGCTTCCATCTCCCCTATATGGAATATAATCCCAGAGCCCTTCAATTCTATGTCCTAAACCTCTCCCATTTCCATACCCTCTCTCACCCATGCCTTGCTGTAAGCTCTCTCTCACTGAGACTGTTCTAGTAGCTCCCTACCTAGTCTCCTTCCCCACCCTCATATCTCACACCCACCCTCACACAGCTGTGAGAACATACTCTCCACGGTAAATGTGCTACTACTCTCCCCCCATATGGGCCATCAGCTCCTGCAGCTTCAAGTGCAAACTCAGTCTGCACACTAAGGCCAGGGTCTGCTTCCTCCTGCTTGGGACCTGCCTTCCTTCTCCCTAAGGGCAGCTAAACCCCACCATGCACACTCTGTCAGTGTCTATGTACCTGGAAAGCCCTTCCTAAACTATGGCCTCACGGAAAACAATCCTTCAACACTCACTTGAAATATGTCTTTGTGAAATCGCCACTGACACTCAAAACAGAGCAGAAAACTCCTTTTCTGCAACTTCCACACATAGGCTACATCAGTTCTCACATGATACAAAAGGAACGGACATATAGCTAGTGTTCAGCAGTACTTATACAATTAACTAACAAACAGATAAACAGATGGCAGAGTGTCCACAAAGTTTAAATACAAAAAAAGGTATTCCCTCTTTTGCCTGTATGTGTTCAATCACTGGCTGACTAGGGAGAGATGAGACGCAGCTTAGAGAGCTAGAGATGAAAAATAAATGACTATAGGGTTTTGTGGTTGTAAATCTTCCCTGAAGACCATAGCGTCTCTGTCCTACACAGTGGTAACAGACACTCTGCAGACACTAATCCTGCTGTCAACTTGTTATGCAGCAAAAGTATAAACTAGGGACAAATCAGCTATAATTTATCTCTCCTGGATTTGGGTTCAGATACTGAGAGGCACTAATTTCATCTCAAGCAATAATTAAATTAATAGAATATTTATTATCAAGAAACTAACCATTTGTACTGCAAAGATCTTCCTTGGTCCAGGTCAAAAGGGGAGGTATACACTGGGCAATGAATTCTTTTCTGTCTTCCTCGGACAGAAACGGACAGAGACTTTGAATGGTGTGCATATTACCTTCTGTTAGTGGGAAAAACCTGTTTAAAGAAAAGAAAAAGTGTGAATTATATTTATCCTAAATATGCAGGTATTTCAGAGAACTCCATACTCAGACTATTCAAAAGCACCAGTAATTCCACTACCTAAAATAATTGTATAAAAATAAAGGAAACTCTGAGGAGAGATTGGCAATTTCTGATTCTGGATGATGAAACTCTAAGTAATTACATTTTGCTGCTTCTCTCTCTTTAACACACCTCTAGTTTTTTAAACAAGCATATTCAACGTCCAGCCACATACAATTATTCTGAATTATTCACACATAGTTAAGCTCTCTGTAAGAGTCCAGTCCACTTACACAGTACTGCTTGGGTGCCCTTTCTATGAACTGATATTCATGTGTGTGTGTGTATAGCTGGGTTCATTTACATAATGAGGTCACCCTGAACACAGTTTTCTTACTTGCCACTTTTATACTTGAATACAAAGTATGTAAGTTGTTATGTCACTTATATACTTTGTAGATTTTCTATGTCAGAACACAAAGGTACAAATTATTCTATTTTAAAGCTACATAACTAAGTTAAAAATAAAAACATTTCATACTATAGATATATCATAATCTAACTATTTCTCCGTTAGTGGACATTTAGGTTTTACTCCCCAAATTTTTCATATAAATAATGCTGCAATAAATGTCCTGAGCACATGTGCAAACGCCTCTCAGGCTAGATTCCTGGAAATGGAACTGGAACATCAAAGGATCTGAATGTATTGCATTCTGGTAATTTCAAATTGCTTTCCAAAAACAACATAATCTATTTACACTTTCACCAGAAATGTACATGTGACTGTTTTACTGTACAGTTAATGAATCTTTTAAATTCCTGGCACTATGGTAGATAAAATATGTTTCTTTTAATATGCACTGCCATCATTATAATAAGGCAAATTCTTTCACCTGGGAATTACCTTGGACTATTTCATCTGTGAATTACCTGTCCTTGACACATTTTTCAATGTGGATTGTTTTACTGATTCATAGAAGCTAGTTATATATTATGGACATTAATTCTTTGTTAATTTGCAAATGTTGTCTCTCATTTTGTCACCTGGCCTTTAACTTTTGTTTACTGTATTTCTGTCATACACAAGTTTTTCTTTTTAAAAAAATCTATTTTAATTGATTTCAGAGAAGAAGAGAGAGGGCGAGAAAGAAACATCAATCATGAGAGTCATTGATAGGCTGCCTCCTGCACGTCCCCAACTGGGGATCAAGCCTGCAACCTGGGTATGTGCCCGGACTGGGAGTTGAACAGCAATCTCCTGGACCATAGGTCAATGCTCAAACACTGAGCCACACTGGCCGGGCAAGTTTCCTTTTTCTCAAAATATTTATGCTAAAATATACACAACAAAATTATCATATTAACTATTCTTAAATATACAGTTTGATAGCATTACATATATTCACACTGTTGTGCAACCACACTCCAGAATTCATTTCACGTAACTGAAACTCTACTCATTCAACAAGAGCTGCCCCCCGCTCCCCCAGGCCCTGACAACCATCCTTCCACTTTCTGTATCTGTGAATTTGATTGAGCTAGGTCCCTCAAGTAAGTGGAATCATACATATAGTATTTGTCTCTTTGGGGTTTATTTCACTCAGCATAATGTCCTCAAGGTTCACCTATGTTGTAGCATGTGTCAGAATTCCCTTCATTTTAAGGCCAAGTAATATTCCATTGTATGTTTGCACAGTATTTTTGTCTGTCATGCTGATGCACACTTAGGTTGCTAGAGTTTTCATTTGCACAAAATCAAATATTTATCATTTCTTTAATGGACTCTGGGTTTTGTGCTTTGCTAAAGAAGCTCTTGCCCGTGCACAACAACTCAGTCTTACTTCCTCTGATACTTCACAGATCTGTTCCTTACATTTAGCTTTCACCTGGACTTCACTTTTATGTATAAGGAAGAGGCCTTGCTATCTTTTTAAAACACATACCCTATTTTTCTAACATCATTTTTTATTGATTCTCCTCATTGATCTGAAAGACCACTGGAATCAAAAACTAAATTCTCATATATGTGTGGATGGGTTTCTGGACTCTATTTTGACCCACTGATTTATCTATTGACCAATTTCAAATAACTTAATGACTGTACTCAGCTGAGCAAGTTCTTTTCACTTTTCTCTTCCAGAGATTTCCTAGCTATTCTTAAGCATCTTTCCTTCAAATGCATACCATGTTTAGAACAGTTTGTCATCTTTTTAAAAAAAAGTTGAAATTTCGATTGTGATTGCACTGAAATTATAGGCTATTATGACCATTTTTACAATTTAATCTTCCTACCTCCTTTGTAATCTTTACTAAAGTTTTACAATTACAATTTTTGTTAGATTTATTTGTAGGTATTTATAGTCTTGTCATTCGAAATGAAATATTTTTTCCTGTGACATTTTTTTTAATTGAATTTATTGGTGTGACACTGGTTACTAAAATTATAGAGGTTTCAAGTGTATAATTCTGTAATACAACATCTGTATGTTGTATTGTGTGTTCACGGCCCTAAGTCAAGTCTCCTTCAGTCCTGTGACATTTTTAAAGTGATTATTACTGATGAGTAAGAAGGTTACTGATTTTTGCATGTTAGGTACCTATTCATCCCAGGGTCGTTAGTTCTAATAGTTCTTTAGTTAATTCCCTACTACCTTTTATAATCAGAACATTTAAATTAGGCTGAATAAAATGGCCAATATCAAAAGACCATATACTGCATAACTTCACTCAAATCACAGTCCTAAGTGATGTAATTAGAGCGGGTGGGCAGATGACTGGTTACCACAGGTGAGGAGATGGTATATAGGGAGGTGGCTGTGGCCATAAAAGGTAACAGAGGGGTCCTTATGACGTTGGTGGTCACACGTGATTTACACAGAACACACACAAACAACTCCACGTAAACCTGATTGACAGATGGTATCGAGACCATTTTCTTGGTTGTGAAACTACTAAACTTATGCAATATGGTGCTAATGGGGGAAACTGAAGGTAGGGCACATGGAACCTCTGTATAATTTACAAATGCATGTGAATCTTTAATTATCTCAAAATAATAAATCTATAATTACCTCAAAATACTAAGTTTTTAAAATTTTTAAGTAAGGTTTAAAGCACTGAAACTCAGTTTACTACTCCACCGTGCCAGAACATATGTGTACCCTTCTTGAGTACCTACCTCTTGGTAAATCCATAAATTCAGCTACGTGTTTACCTGGAATGCTCAGCCTCTCCAGCACGATCCATCTAGTGGATCTCTTCTACCTCCGACCACAGTTTATCTCTTTGTCTTAGGAGCACATTCACTGCATTTCTAGAGTATGCTTCAACAGGATGAGCTCTATCAAGGGAGAGTAAGGGACTTTCCACATAGCAAGTAATGCTGTGGAAAGGCGAGACAGAGAAAGAAACACACGCCTGCCAGAGGTTGGGGGAGAAGACCAAGTGTATGAAATGCTGCTTGTTTAAATTAAAACAGGTATGAAATTCCACAGCAAAATGTTACAAAATTAAAAATGCTTATTACAAAAAGGTATGTTCCAAACCTAAAACAACTGAAACTGTCTTTAATCTCACTTCCTTTAACCTAATTTCTTCATCTCTGAGACCTTGTTCTCTGGATTCCTTAGAGACTATCAGTTAGTTGGAGGTCGCCAAGGTGACCCAATACAACAAATTACCAAGTAAAAATGCAAAGGCCCATACCCCTCTTTTCTTCTACAATGCTGTTTCACTTCATCAGACGAAACGCGTCGGGAAAGAACCAACTTAGCAATCACGAGAGACCACAGAGTGCCGTGCTCCTTGGATCTGAAAGAGGAGGAAACATCCATTTTGAAGGTGTGCTTAAGATTTTTAAACACTATTCACCTGGATGCCTGTTACAGAATTAAATAAATCACCTGGTGAGGGCATCAACTCACACAGGACTTATATACCCAAACAGCTGCCACAACTTCAAGGACTGAGAGCTTAAGCTTTGCACCAAGCTTCACAGCACAAGGCCATCCACAGCCCCTCGTGTCCCAGTGGGAGAGGCGACCTTCAACATCAGGCCTGAATTTACAAGGCTGCACTGAGACAAGGACATGTCCCAGGGCACACCCAGGCTGGAGGAAGCTGAGGGACCCCGGCAGTAGAATCCGCGGAGGCGAGCTCTGAGTGGCTAGTGCATGCAGTGGGACTGCAGAGGAAGACCTGCCAGCTGGGGCCCAGACACAACAGGCAAGCAAGAAACTCTCAAAGAGAAAACAGTTCAGCACAGTGATGTCAACCACTACACATCTGACTGCCATAGCCTCTGTGACGACTTGTTTTCACACCTGCTCCTCTATGGGAGAGGATCTGTGGTTCTCACATCAAGATAAACCTGCAACAGCAGGCAGGACACAGGCTGAATTTCACAGCAGCAGGACAGCGGGTCACAGAGGGCAGACAGGCTGAAACCACACCCACAGGTTCTGTTCCTTCCTCACCTGGCCCTTGAACATATTTATAGATTTAATAACACAGGCTAAGTCCAAATATCTCCCCAGAAAAATAAATCAAGTACTTAGTATCCACAAGTACTTGTCATTAAGAATTCAGATTAACTTACATCAACCTCTGATTGAAAAATTAGCATGAAGAAGGCTTCCATTTTACAGAGACAAAGCCATAAAGTAGTAAAATGGTCATTTAAAACATGGAAATTGAGAGCAACATTTACCTGTTAAATAGCAGGTGCAAAAGGCCGGAAGTATTACCAAGTCCACACAAGTTATCATACGTAATATTCATTTTTTCAAGCATTTCACAGAATCCGGTTAGGAAGGCAGGGGGGTTATCCAGCTCCTCACACCACTGCAGTGAATACAGCAGCTCTGAGGCTGGGAGAATGGACAGCAGGTCAACACGGGTGCTGTGATCAGACCCTCCAATCTTTTACTTCCTGGCCTGCTTCCTAACACTGCTACATCCACTGGTCTCTGAAGATCTGGAAACTGACCTCAAATCTGCTTTGAGATTTTCAAGATAATGAACCTGGAGAATCTGTGTTTGATACAAAGCCCCACCCCTCTTTCAAATCTCACTTGGTCCCTTTTCTGATGAGTTAGAAGTGTGACAGGGACCTTAATTACCAGAGACACAGGACACACACGATGCACAACTAAGGGATGATGGCCTGAAATGAGAAGTTCCAGCCAGTGTGATAAGAATGGGAGACAGCAGGACACAGGGCACAGGGCATGAGCCTCAGTGACAGACATCTGTCCTCAAATGAGCTGTCCACAAAGTTATCAACTAGGACACCTCAATCTGCCTCACAAGACTGCTATGAGAATTAAACAACCAAGTATCTTTCACAAAACCTGGCATGTCATAGACTTTTAATATACATTTACTCACAACTTTCAAGTGTCTGGTTTAGATTTTGAAGTCAGAAGATGAGATGGAGTTTAAAATCTAATTGTGCCCAGCCGGGCATGGCTCAGGAGTTGAGCACCAACCTAGGATCCAGGAGATCGAGGTTCGATTCCCGGTCAGGGCACATACTCAGGTTACGGGCTCCATCCCCAGTTGGGGGTGTGTAGGAGGTGGCCGATCAATGACGACTCTCCCATCATTGATGTTTTTCTCTCTCTCTCCCCTCCTCTCTCTGAAATCAATAAAGATATATATTAAAAAAAAAATAATAACCTAATAGTCTCCTTGACAAGCTAAGTAATTCTAAGCAAGTCAAGACAAGAAAAACAGTATCTAACTGATGGAATTGATGAGAACATTAAATACCTAATGCTTTCAGTTTGGAATTAGTAATATACAATTAGCAAACATAAAGGATCACAAAAATGAAACTAATTTCCAGTTTTGCTTTTGGATAGATTCACTCTGTGCGCAGTGTACCTGTGAGCTGATCTCCCCGCCCTTAACAGCCTGTGGAGCTGACCAATCAACAGGGCTCCACTAGATCCACAGGAAGGCTGATCCGAACAGTCTCTGGGTCCCCTGGCAACTGTCACAGTGGAGGGCTCGCCAGGGAGACTGACACAGGAACTGTGCAAACCCTCTTTCAACACCAACCTGCACAGGTCACGCAGCCCCACCATCTGAACCTCCACTTGCCAGGAAAAAACTAGAGCCCAATGAAGGCTGAGGAGCCCTAGTAGTCCAAACACAAAGTAAAAATTCACACTCCTGGACGAAACCCCAGACTCTCTTAGCTGTGTTCTCAGGATCCTGTGATGCCGGATCCGCTTATACTGATGCCCTATGGCTGAGTAAGTGATCCTACACCCAATTCTGCTCCATGCCTAATAAGATTATGGCCCAGGTTTCAGCATGTTTCCATCGGACATGCAATTTAACATCTACCACTTAACTAACCTCAAAGATCTCATCACTAAAATACTTAATAGGAGCTGAAGATTCTCGATTCTTTAAGGATTTAAATTGCAGTATAATCAGAAGTAGTTCAAAATTCATATTTATATTACATCTGAATGCTCACACAAACTTACTTATTTTATCAAGCTCATTATTTTCGAGGACTATTTCCTTTTTCAGTGCAATTAGCAGCATTTTGCTCAGCAGTGCTGAAGTACACAAATGGCTGGGAAGTCTCTCTGTGTCTTGTTCTTTACAATCTGCTCTGAAACGCTCACAATTCAAACTCAGTCTTCCTTCCAAAAGAGGCCTATGCCACCACTGCAAAAAGACAAGTCACATGCAAAGTCGTCAAATACTCCACTTACCACCAACTGAGCAACTAAGACGGGGAACAAAAATACAGTTACTACAACACCTCCAATTTGCTATTAAAATAACTTCAAAAACAAAGTTACTTGGTTTATTAGCACAACCACAGAAACCTGAAGTCTGGTTCCTGCTACAGGAAGTTCTCATATGCGTGTTTCTTGCAGACTCCTAAGGGCATCACTGGGTCCTGCTCACCTCACACCACGGCTACTGCCAGGGCGTCAACGAGGGTCTTGCCCACAGCCAGCATACGACAGAAAAGCATTCAGAGGCACAGAGCAAAGTAAGATACTCACTCCACTTCCTTATTTTTCTTCACCAGAAAGAAATAAAAACATTTAAGCCTGAATGAAATCCAAATTCCAGAATAAGATGCGCTCTAACTTCAGACATACCTGCACAGGAAGAGACTGCCTCATCTTCTCCCACTCAATGCTGTCTGGCATCACGCGTCCAATATAAACTCCCAGGAGGGAGGTATCTTCACTCTCTAAAAGCTTATTCAGCAAATCGTCAACAGCAGACAAGAGTCCTCGGAGACTGAAAATAATGCAAACAACGTGACTGCTGTAGTGATGCTGTGGCTGATTTGAATACGTGGCACCCATTAAATACCCCGTGGCAGAGAACAGCTACCTGAACAAAATGACAAGCTGCCTTATTTCACAAAAAGAGCAAGGTGACTGGGGACATATTTGACTGAACCCCAACAGTCTCTGGGTGCTTTGCTTAATTTTCACTTTTATATGTGAATTTAGGTAGATGTGAAATACACTGCAATTCAAACACCTTAAAACAGTGGCTGGCAGACCCCAAAAGGTAACCTGTACAGAGCAATCACAGTGAGCCGGCCAGGAGAGGTTATGGCCACACCCCACACTGGGTGACACAAGACAACACCAGTGCCCATCACCGACATCAACCAGGAGCTTGGCGGCTCTGCTGGGACAGTCATTCTTGAATTCAGTGCCTTTAAACGAATGACCGTTAAACAGGAAAAGTCCTCCTAGGAGTCCTATCAATTTCTTACCCGACAAATCATTTTTCATAGGCACCCACACTAATTATGGAATTTGATTTAGGACAGTGATCAAGTATGAAGAGGTGCTGCGCAGCTGAGCACAAAAATGGTTACCTCTTGATGTCCAAAGATGGAGACTGAACCTGGTTCTTCAGCCACAGAGCGGACGAGCACAGGAAGGCACTCTGCTGACATGGACGGCCAGTGTGGTGGACCAGCAAATTCACACCAGACAGCCAGGTATTTTTCAGTTTACAGATAAGAAAGTCTAAAATCAAGATGTCCACAGTAATTTGTAATCCCATGGAAATGACTATAATCATTACAAAATGTCTAAAAGAACTCACTGCAGATCTCAGATTTCTAAGGTACCGTTTTAAAAAGAAAATAAAAATTGCTATTCAATGTCAAACAAAATGATTGTGTCATAAATATGCAATCATACAGGCTAGCTCATGCCACATGAGGTAAACGTGGTAAGAGGTTTACAGTTGGCTCTTTTCTGCCCTGAGCCTCTTTACAGGAAAGCTGTCCTTTGGGAAAAGCAGTGTAACCTCCAGAGAGAGTGGCCAGCAGGCGAAAGGGCTGGAGGAGGGCTCCCTACTGATACTGTCTTTTCATATTCCTTCCACAAGTAAGTCTAAACTAACACACGAGGCAGAATGTAATTCTTAAAAACGCAATCTCAATTTAATTTTCACATACACCAGGACTGAATGTTTCTATTAAGAGACCGTAGCTATGAAGAGAAGAAAAGATATAAGATATTAATAAATGTGGAAACTGAGGCATGAAGAAAGTAAGCAGACTGCCAGAGCTCCCAAGTAAAGGGGCTAAGACTCTAACCATGGCCCGTTGCAAAACTACTTCCTTGATATCAACTAAGTACTTTAGACATAGTCTAAATACATCTTTAACATGGCTTTTAAAGCTGAAAGTGTTTAAGATTTGTAGTCCTTTACTCAAAATGGTTTTGACTTTCACACACATGATGATTCGGTAATAAAGCCTGGGCACTCACACTATGAGGGTCAGAGCAGGAGATCCCAGGAAAACCTCTGAGCAGTAGGCTGTTACCTGGCAGATGTGTGTCTTCTCTGCTCTGAGCACATAACTGAAAGAGAGTTAACAGTAAGTCCTCCGAGGACGGCATTAGCAAGGACCCTGTTGCGGAGCTGAAATAGTCATAGACCACATCGCAGGTGGAAGACAATGAAGAGTCAATGTTTTCAGCATCTGACAATTCCTTTACTTTGGATAAAGTTTCATGAAGTTTAACAATAATTCTTTCAACATATACTTCTCCAATCAAGTAATCTAGAGGGGAAAAAATCACAAACAATACAAAATATTAGCAGTATAATTTTGAATACCGTACTTTGGGTTAACTACCCCTTGAGTCTATCTTTAAAAAAAAAAAAAGGTGCGGCCCAGCCAGGCATGGCTCAACTGTTGAGTATTGACCTAGGATCCAGGAGATTGTGGTTCGATGCCTGGTCAGGGCATATGCCCGGGTTGCAGGCTTGATCCCCAGTTGGGGGCGTGCAGGAGGCAGCCGATCAATGACTCTCTCATCATTGATGTTTCTATCTCTCTCCCCCTCTCCCTCTCTCTGAAATCAATAAAGATATATTTAAAGAAAAAAAAAGGTGCCTGTGGATTAAACAAAAGAAAGTCACACCAGCAGGTCAAACTGTTCTGACAGAAAAGCCCCCATGTGAAAAAGCAGCTCTACGTTAAACTTAATAAGCAGTGTTCCACAAAACTAGGGCGAAGAGCTTTGCTCAATTCAAAGCCCTTTAGTATAAAAAACTGAAAATATTTAATGTCATCCAAATCATGCTACCATGATTAATAAACATTTAGGACACTTACAAGATTAAGGTATTTTAATGATTTATGTCTTATTCTCAACCAATAACGTGAACTCAGCTGCATGAGATCCCCCCAAACCAACAGGGTTATTCCCTCCTGGAAAACAGAAGCTGGATCTCCGCCTACCATTCGTAACATGCTGGGATAACACCATGCTTAAAAGAGCCCATCTTTCTGAGAAGTAAGGTTCAGAAGTCACTGTAGATTCCAAGTCCTCGCTGCAAAGATGATCTGCCAAGGCGACCAATTTCTCTCCAAGGATATCTCCTTTCAGCCAAGAAACTACTAAAGCGTGTTTATCTGAACTAGAACATGCCTAAAATCATACAATTAATGCAACAGTTAGAAGCAAGATAAAAAGGTCTACTTGCCTGAAGGATTACTTGCACCACATCACATGCCTCCCTTCACCCCGGGCCCAGCACCATGTCCCTCTCTCCTCCTCGGGTCTAAGGCTGGGGTCTCCGTCCCCACTAAGCCTTGCTCACTGCACTCCACTTTCCTCATCCATCTCCCCAACCACAACTACCCTTCTCTCCACACGTCACAATCCTGTCTGCCTTAGGAACTGCCCCATCCTCTCCTGCCCGCTCATAGTCATCACTTTATCTGATTCTCTAAAGCACTTACTCGACCGTATTATTATTTATGTTTTGTCTGTGTGTGCCTTGTTTCCAATGAGACTGTCAGTTTCTTGAGAGCAGAGACTGTCTTAAACTTCTTTGAGACCTAGCAACACTGTGGACATGCTCGGTAACAAATGGCTGAACTCTGAGGACAGATTTTTTTAATGCCCTATAGACACTCAATTTTTGTTCATTAATTTTTGCTAAAGTTAAAGAAAAGTTCATATATAATAGTGGTAAATAACTTCAATATGAATAATGGGATTTATTATTATTTCCACAAATTCTTTGAAATAGTTACTAGGGCCAGATATCTGACAGCAACTGGTTTATTTTCATGGGGTGGGGAAGCAAGAAAAAAAAGTGTAAATCCACCCCCAAGAGCATGCTGATCCATGTTCCCAGAGCTTCTTTTGCTTTAAGGGCTGAGAAGAAAGGAATTTGCAACTTGGTTCATTTCAAAGCAATCTAGGAAAAAAAAAAAAATCCAAGTGTGGATTGGGTGATGCCTGAAAACTGCTTATCCTTTTACTTAAAAAATTAGAGGTAAATGGGGCACATCTGTAATACTCTCAACAACAAAGATTAAAAAGAATTGTAGGTGACCAGAGCTTTTACTTCAGCCCAAGCTTTACCACTATTCTGCCTTTACGACCTCAGACAAATCTTTTTTTTTTTTTAACTGTCACCGACGATGTGTTTTTATTGATTTTTGGGGAGGAGGAGAGGGAGAAACATGAATGTGAGAGAAACATCGATCAGTTGCCTCCTGTACACAGACCGACCAGGGATCGAACCCGAAACCTAGGTATGTGTCCTGATGAGGAGTTGGGAGTTGAACCCACAACCTTTTGGTGTATAGGATGATGCTTCAATCAACTGAGCCACCCAGCCAGGGCTCTTTTTTTTAATTGATTGATTTTAGAGCAAGAGGAAGCAGCGGTGGTGACGGAGGACAAACATCGAATTGTTGCTCCACTTATTTAAACATTCACTGGTTGATTCTTCTATGTGCCCTGACTGGGGATCAAACCTGCAACCTTGGTATATCAGGGTGATGCTCTAATCAACTGAGCTACCCAGCCACAGCTGTACCTTAATTTTAAAAGACACAAAAACACTTGTAAATTAAAGAGTTATCTGTGTAAAACTTAAAAATAATCCAAAAACGCTAAAAAAAATTTGGGTCACTAGTCGTAACATTTCTATGGTTGGAAACTTGTTACTTCTATTATCTACACCTCACTAGAAAAGACTACTTAAGCCTTTTTTTAACTTCCCAGGCTGTCTGTGCTCCGTGACTTACTCTCATCATTCTCACTACCACCTACTTATTCAGTCTGGTGGCTCTGAGGCTGCAACCTGGGTCAATCCATTTACATGGAAGGTAACTAGGGTTAGAGCAGGCACCTGGAGACTTTGTCTGAAAAATAAAATCTGCAAGGGAAGAAACCCTGGGGCGTCGAGAGCCTGTTCACTCCTCCTGACCTTCCAAACAGGACACTACTATAGGAAGGCAAGCACCGAATGTCCTCCCCAGTTATGGGGAGTTACAAGAACCAGGACGTCCCCGAGCACAGACCCCTGCCCACATTCCAAAGTGTGGCTGTGACTGGAATGTTAACTTTCCTATACCCATAAACACAGAAAGAAAAAATGCAATCCCCAAGATACCTTTTCAATAACCTGAAGAAGCGAATTCCATTTCAGATCCACCTGAAAGAAGAAAAGTGAGAAATAATCTCTGGAAGGAACAGTAAACATTTAAAAGTCAATGAAGTAGTCATGTAACCACTGCAAAAATAAAACTTTTTCAGCTCATTCAACTTTAAAGGATGGACTGACTGAAAGCACTGACCCTTTTATTTCCAAGCTCTTGTCCTGCTCACACATTTAATGAACACCCACCCGAAGTCTCTCACATTTCCCAAACCACGGTCGGCACACTGCTTGTCTTCAGACACAATCCAATCACCACCCAAAGGACTCACTCTCATCGGTGCTGGTTTTTCAAACCATTAGTTTGAAAAGAAAGATGATTAATACCTCGGTCAGGTCATCTAAGACATCTTTTCTCTCCTTATCATCCTCGCAGCAGCGGAGGGCACTGTACAAAATGTCCACCAAGAAACCGGCATCCTTCCTTCGGTCTTCATTCAGCCAACCAATTACTTTCTGGTACAGAAACTGCACTGCGGGACTCTTCTGTATGAGTCTGGCTAGCTCAGGAGGCTTGGGTTTGGTGGCAGTCTGCTTTTCATCGCCCAGCAGCATCTCAAACACTTGGGTTGAAGAGAAGGAATTGAGCAGAGTAGAAAGGAACCAGAGATGCTGCTCTGACTTCTGTTTGTTGACATAATTAATGCTCAGCTCTGCTAGTCTGCAGACTAAGTCTTCCAGGGGTTTCCTCCGTAGTGGAGATAGGTCTGAGCAGGTAACGGAGGCAGGAGGCTCAGCCACTAATGCACGACACTCACTGTTCTCTCCTCCTGAGGAGACACACATCTCACTCTCTCTGCTACTTTCAGGCATCTCATCAGCAAATCTAACCCCACCCGTTTTTTTTTTATTTGACTTCAATGAGCTCTTTGGCTTCTGAAGGACCTGTAATAGGTTAGATACACCCGACACAGACTTAGCATCTGCTTCTGGCTTGTTGATTTTCTCGAAACAGATCTCTGACAGTTTTTCCCAGAAATTCAGCAGCACTTTCTCCAAGTTTTGAGTGGTTTTATCATCTTTCTCCATATCTGCTTTGGCTTCCCAAGAACTTAAGGTTTCTGCTAAATACTCAAATAATTGCCCATCTTGCAATTTTGGGTCTTTGAGAACTGTGTTAATCAGAGGAATCAACTGAAAGAGAAGGTGAAATAGAAAACTTTCATTTTCAGGAGAAATAAAATTTAAACAAAGTATGTGTAAAACATTAAAAATTTTCATATTTAATAAATGAAAAACATGGATTTTCCCCCAGAACTCTGAAAAGGATTAACTTGAAAATCATTTTCGTATCATGCTTAATGACTTCACTGGATTCCCCTGAATTACTTTGTTTTTATGATATAATTGACCAAGATCATTGGTTATTAACAAATAATAGTTTTGTCTGCATCTTCGGAAGTTTTGACTTTTTGCCTTTTTTTAAAGCCACAGAGGACGAAAGAGTTCAGAACCCTTTTATTAAATTACAAAGAGGAGGTAGCTATGAGACACCAGGAGGATCTGGGCTTCTATCTCGCCAACTGACTTCCTACCACAGGAGCATGTTCCAGAACCTGCTCTCATCACTGGCTCCAAAAGCCAAGCACAACTGTTCATGAAAGGATACGTATACTTGATTAGTTTAGAAGTAATAAGATAACTGTTGCATCATTTAAACTTAATACAAAAGATCCCAACAGCATCTTCTAAACTGTTTTGCGTTTCAACTCTAAAACAGGCAGAGTGTGTACATCCAAAGATTAGTCCTCAGGCAGGAAGGCACTATACTATCCTGCTGGCACTGTGAAACCTTTACGAGGAAGGCTAATCAGTAAGAATGGCAACAAGATATGGTGACCTTGGAGCATGGTTCTTACGCCAGTGTGACAGCGCACTGGTGATTCCCACACCGCACATACCTGGTCGCTGACGAGCATCTGCTGCATCTCTTCCTCACCTAAACTCTGCTGCATTATAAAACGTAAGCATTCAAAAAAAGCAGATGTCACTGCTGAGCACTCTGAGAAGCTGGTTTTGATTCTCTCGGTTGACAGCCTGAGAAATAAGAAGTAACCATGGCTGACTCTTTCATCAAAGAGAACACAAGCAACCCAGAAACACCAAAGTCAAGTCACAGGAAAAGCATCCGTTTTTAAAAGTAAAAATCTTACACTGAAAACTAAGACCAAACAACAGAAATACAGCATGATTACAATGTAAACTTGAAGAACTGGGAAGATTTAAATAAGACAATTATGTATACGTCATTCTACCCAGCTGTGAAAACAGCAGCAATCTCTTTTGCTTTAAAGATCAAGACTTTGAATTCCTTACCCGGCAACCAGAGAGGTGAGGAAGCTTCTGAAGAAGTCCAGCCTTGGGTCTGTGATGGACTGTGGGAGCTTGCTGATAAATGGCAGAAGATAGGGATATATGACAGTGGCCAGACCCCGACCACCCTCACGAACCACAGCTGACAGCTTGGGAAACACACTTTTTTTTGCATTTACATGAAGCCAACAGTCCTAACCAAAGAAAAGATTATAGTAATTAAGATTACAAATATACTTTTCCCAATTAACAGAGAAGACACATAGTTCTCAAAAAATAAAAATTAAGTGTTCCACCTAAAGAGGCTAACATTTCATTGCCATTAAAATCTAAACTCTGAAATTATAAGAAATGTATTACATGTATCCTCCAGGCTTCCAGGATAATATTCATCAGAAATAATTACATATTTTATTTATTATTTATTTATTTATTTACCCTCCCCCAAGGACACTTTTTGCATTGCTTTTCAGAGAGAGTGGAAAGGAGGGATGGGGTGGGGGGGAGGGGGAGAGAGAGAGAAAGAAACATCAATGTGAGAGAGACACATTGACTGGTTGCCTCCCACATGTGCCCCCACCTGGGCAGAGGATTGAGCCTGCAACCAAGGTACGTGCCCTTGGCTGGAACTGAACCTGGAACCCTTTAATCCACAGACCAATGCTCTGACCACTGAGCCAAACAGGCCAGGGCCAGAAATAATTACTTAAGTTAAATAAAGTATTTCCATAAAAACTGCTTTCTAAAAGGGACAGCAAAATTAATCTTAAATATAAGATTCTGATTAGCTTACTTCAATAGGCCCCATAAAAATGAGTGATTCTGGCTAAAATGAAAGTAAATAAAACCTCTTTACCATTTTATAGTCAGTTTACAATTTACACCAAGTTTTGGATTAAGTATTTCATTTCCAAGAAAGAATTTTTCCAGTAAGTTTTAGATATTATAACCTAATAGGCTCTCTCCAAGACAAGTGTTCCCGGATACACTAAGCGTACCTCTCTTACATACCTCAATAGTGGTAAGTGTATAGAGTACAGCTTCCCAGAGAGCAGGGCACACAATGGGGTCACTGTCATCAATGCTAAGTAGGACAGATGAGCTCACTTTTGATGCTTCATCTTTCATCAAGTGTGGAATACGCTGGCACAAAGCAGAAACTAACTCGAAATAAGCTGAGCGGATCTAAAAGAAGAAATAGAAGCCACGTTAAGTTAAAGTCAAGCGACACCATGATAAGCTTTTATTAATGGGAAGGGCAGACAGGCCATTCATACTAATCCTGCCATTAACGAAACTAAAAAAGCTACAGAAATACTTTAAAGAATCGCTTTAAGAGTACTGAGTGACTGAGAAGCTGAAGGTGAAGGCAGAGAGAGTTCAACTTCGCATCTCTGTGGCTGAAGAAAACACACATCCTCCCTCGTGCAGGACCCTTCACCTGGGGCTGTGGATTATTCCCACAGACACACCAGCAGCACAGCCTTAAAGAGAGCCAGACCTCAATAACGTACCCTGAGCCACTACAGGAGAAACCAAAGATAACACAGAGATCTAAGACCTTAAATCTTAGAATTACCAGTTACAAACTCCTTATCAACAAGGCTTATTATAGTTAACAAGAGTTAAAAAAAACTTGAGAGAAAAGAATATGAGAAAAGGCACAGATCTGAAAAAGTACAATTGCTAACCTAAATATAAATAATAATAAAAGCTCCATTCAAAAAAATTATCCACCAAGTAGCATGAAAAGACAAGGCAAAAACACCAAGGAGAGCATAAGAGACACAGACAAAGAGAGTGAGAAAATTAATATATGTCATTAGAATCCCAAAGGGAGAGAGAAGAGGGAATGAGGCAAAAAAGCTATCTGGAGAGGTAAAAGTGAGCATTATGTAAGAACCAATGAAATACACCAATCTACAGATTCAAAAAGTCCAACACATCCCAAGCAGGAAAATATATAAACAAGCAGGTTAGAGAAGAAACACAAAAATCTGAAAAGCTTATGAAGAGATGCTAAAAGTCACTTGGAATAACTGAAGTCAAACAGAGAGATAATTCCTATTAGACCAACATTAGGAAGATGCACAACTATAAGACTATAGACTGTAAGACTGCACAGGACTCATCATGTGCTGACAGTCACATCTAGACTAACACAGCCGTTCAGGTGAGCAATCCAGCACCACTTCAGAAAACTTAGTACGTGTGCATTTACTCTTGGCTCAGCAACTGAGAGATTTTTGGAAAAAGAAACTCACAGATCTGAGGATACATGAATGAAGACGTTGGCTGATGCATTAACTGTGAGGGTGAGGACTGGAGGAGTCACAGGGTGTCTATCACTGGGGCAATGGGCAGGTAAATAGAATGGAGGCACACTTCTGAATACTACACAGCAGTTAGAAGCCATGGACACACATATAGGAACATGATGAATTTAAAGTATTTTTTTTAAAGTACTATGTAAAAAGCAATAAATGGGATATAATACAACATAATGCCACCTATGTGAATTAAAAGCACAAGTAAGAATTCGTGTGAGATGAGCTCCATTCAGGCGTGACCTCGAGTGATTTCCATTACTGAATCAACAATATACATTAAATAAGGTGTCTTTAAACAGACATAAAAAACAAGATTGTGTATGAACCAACAGACAAAAATGCTGTGACCAGAGACTCACTAGAACTTAATCCTATACTTCCCTCCCATAAGAGCATGCGTCAGCATTCGCTAGTTCAGTGGTTGTGAGCCTCTAGGGAACAGTTACCATGAATAACAAGAACTGACTACACAAGAAGATACATTAAGAACATTCAGGATGGTCACCTGGTGGGGTTGGAGAATGGAGACCGAAACAGAAAGGAAAACAAACAGACATCAACGAGAAGAGCCTAGCCCACGCCCCGTGGTAAGGCGCCAGGAGGGGAGGAGAGATCATTCAACTGACTCTGAAATTTAGATAATTAAATAAAAAAGTGAAAATGCAATAACATTCTGGTAAGAGATGCAATTCAGTCCCACCACAGAGATGTATTTGTGGAGTTTTAAACATAAACAGTAAACATAAAGCATAAACATAAACTAGCAAGATCAGGGGGAAAAGAGAAACCAGAGAAAGGTCTTAAAATAAAAACTAAGATACCTGAGGTATACTGTGTTTTCCATACTTCCAAAATTTATTCTGTGACAGAAGAGACTTAAATTTCTCCTCCAGAGATTCAAGCTCATTATCAGGTAGGAGGCAAAGCAATTTCTTTAATGCCAATAAGGAACAGGTTACAACACGATAGAATTTAGCTTCTCTCTCTTCCTCTGGAACAGTTCTCATTATGAAAAGAAAACAAATACATATTAGGATTGAGTATAAGCCAAACCACACATCTGGCACTACTATTTAAATGCTGCATCATTAAATACCTACCAAAGTTGCTTTATATCTATATTCTATCCTTCCTGTGCCAACCCCTCCGCAAAATACAGTCACAGAATTTCCATCACATAGTTTTCACATAGCACCAGGTGAAAGTAATGAAAGCCACAGCTGAGGAAGGTACAGGTGCACTGCTCTCCGAAGCAGTTAACAAGATGAGCCTCAGTAACTGTGTCTGTGCATCTAAAATTACTTTCCCAGTGGACTCTTTACGCTGTGGTTAGAACATAACAAAGTAAAGGGAGTCAGGGCACATGCCCGGGTTGTGGGCTCGATTCCCAGTCGCGGGCGTGCAGGAGGCAGCAGATCAATGATGGCTCTCTCATCATTGATGTTTCAACTGTCTCTCTCCCTCTCCCTTCCTTTCTCTGAATCAATAAAGATACATTTAAAAAAAAAAAAAGTAAAGGGAGCATTTTACTACTCTTTCAGTAGAACTGTTCATAGTTCAACTCTTTTCAACCACACCTTAGGATGGTCCCACTATGACTGTCAAAAGGTGAATGTGGGAAGAATCTAAAAGCATCTCTTTGTAAACAAACAAATATGTGGCTCCCAGATCACTCAACTTAAACAGCAGGATGACTTGCAAGGAGGAGCACTTACAACAGCACCTGCACACAGCACTGTAGCACATCTTTTTATCCTTACATTTAGCATCCCCTTTAAAATGTCACATGAAAATGATTACCTTATGACCCAGGAGTGGAACAAGCCCTTAAAGTGAGTTACACACGTACGACTTACTGTGGGTCACTGAGGGAGTTGGGTGTTTCCTTTATCAGATGATCCTGCAGCACCTGCAGAGGGGACAACACAAGCCTTGAGATTTTATTGAATTGCAATAGTGACCAGACAGAGCATAAACCTCATCTTACCGAAAAGTTTTACCCCTGCCCCACCAAAGCAGCTAAATTAAGTGGCAAAACTAAAAGGTTTGAACTTTACCAATTTTTCTTTCCCTACCATCCCCAAGATTGGCTGCTACTGGGATTGAGGAGGTTAGGGAACTTCTCCAAACACCTGCAGTTTCCATCAGGAATCGTCCCCTACACCCTCCTAGCCTCTGGCTTCTCCATCCCTCTTGCACACTGAGGTGAAGTGTATGGACTACCTGGTTAGTAAGTCTGAAGAGAAATATGCCCTGCTTTCCTCTCCCTTCTTTTTGAGCCCCTCCCTGCTCAAAGAGAGGAACACAAGGGCTAGATTCCATTTGAAATGCTGGATAAGTCTGCTTGCTTGTGGGGTACAGTGCAAGTGAGAACGCTGTTCCAGTATCAACTTTACCAGCAGTAACAGGAGGTGACATTTACTGATCTTTTCCACATGCAGATAGTGCTCTGAGCACAGTTTATACATCACCTAGATTAATCCTCACTACTACTCAATGAAGCACAAGCTAATGACCATGTAACAGAGGAGGAAGCGGAGGTAAAGAAACTGGGAAGGTAATACACCTGACTGATGGGAGAGGGGCCCTGGAACTCCATGGTATCACCCAGAGCCCATGTTCTTACAGACACTATAACCAAGAACCCAGAATGTGTATCATATGCTGTCTCTAAGTCTGCTATTTTGATCTTCATTTGCCTAACTCCCCCCTAATAAGTTGGTTTTGTACTTGGAAAGTTCAAACCCAGTACCTGCAATGAACTGGGACATGGACAACTAAAGGGAAACTAGCAAGGAGGAAATAATCCACATATTCAGTGATCAGTTATCCATCCCTTATAAAGCCAGTAACAAAAACCAAACAAAGACGATGAACGACCAAATTAGTTGTCTCAAAATCCATTTTCTAAAACTTAATATCCAAACTCACGACACTTCACTTTCATAAGTTACATGATATTTAAATAAACTGATGATTCTGAGCCTGTAGCTAGTTAGAGAACCCCCTTTGAGAAGATGATTAAAGGTACAAGTCCTCTCCCTGAAAGACAAGCTTGCTGCACCTGAGGAATGAGGACGGGAAGAACCAAGAACCTAAATGGGGAAGGAGCATGCCCATGTAGGCATGTGGGAGAGGTGTGGGGAAGGGACCAGGTCATGAAGAGCCTGGTGTCCAGACTGTAAAGACAATGGGGAACCAGAGGAAAGCTGACTTAACTGAAAAGAAGAAGGGAGGAGTGAGGGACAGACAGGGGCTATGGAAACAAAGGAGTGCTACATGGGAATGAACACAGCACATTTTTAAATCCCTTAATTTCCTCCCCACTCACAGTCCATCTGCTTCTATTTCATGTAACAGTAAGAAGCTTGGTCCTCTGTCTTCACCTATCAGTATCTCAGGAAGAGCAGACAGGACGTGAGACTGAGGAAAACAGGGCTCCACGCAGATAAACAAAAAGCCACAGAAGTTAGGCCTGACACCAGCCTGGCAAAAGTGCTGGCCAAGAGTTGAAGAAACTTTCATATGCATTAATGGGATATAGATTTGTATGGCCATTTGAAGGGCAATTTATCAATATCTATAAAAATTTGAAATGTTCGTATCCTTTCACACAGCAAATGGTGACTAAAAGTGCTGGCAATTATTCCTCCCACGAAGTGTGAGGAGATCTATTCACAAATGTTCACTAAAGCAGTATCTGTTTACCAAAAAAACTGTATATTTTAAAAACAAATGTATATTTTAAGAAGTTAACTAAACTGTGGTCTATCCATACAAAGGAATAAGAGAGAGCTAGCAGAAAGAGTGAAGTAGGTCTGTAGACATGTGTTAATATGGACATATGGGGAAATAAGTTTAGGTTGAATTTTCAGATGTATTCTTTTTTTAGGTTATATATTATAAAGCACATACCTAAATTTTCTAGGTAATATGATAAGTCAAAACTTATAAATTAAAGATGGAAAATTTAAATAATTTGGAAAGATAAAATCTGACATGCTAATTATACTTAAAATGCAACATGAACAGTTGTGTTAAACACTATTTTAAAAAGACAATCTTCTGGCCCGGCTGTGCGTGGTTCAGCAGTTGAGCATCAACCTAGGATCCAGGAGATCGCGGTTCGATTCCCGGTCAGAGCACATGCCCGAGTTGCAGGCTTGCAGCCGATCAATGATGAATCTCTTTATATTGATGTTTCAACTCTCTCTCTCCCTCTCCCTTCCTCTCTCTGAAATCAATAAAGATATATTTTTTTAAAAATAAAAAGAAGCCCGGCCGGGCGTGGCTCAGTGGTTGAGCGTCGAGCTAGGATCCAGGCGATCAGGGTTTGATTCCCGGTCAGGGCACATGCCCGGGTTGTGGGCTCGATCAATGACTGTCTCATCATTGATGTTTCTGTCTCTCTCTCTCCCTCTCCTTTCCTCTCTCTGAAATCAATAAAGATATATTAAAAATAAATAAATAAAAATTTAAAAAAATAAAAATAAAAAGACAATCTTCCGTTGGAAATACTTCACACACTGACTCCCTCATCATGCCAGGAAACAGGGCTGTCACTGCAATATGCTCTTATCCTTAAATACTTAAGAAAAAAACAGAACAGTGGCAAGAACTTACGCTCGTGATCTCGTCCTTACAGAATGCTATGGCTTCAGGCTGCTTGCTAGGAGGAAAAGCTGCTTCGAAGGCCTCTTTTGCTGCAGATGCAGCTGGTGCATACGTGTCACACTGAGCCATGAGCCAATAGCCCATTAAACTTTTTAAATATGGAGCCAAGTGTTTCTTAACTTTGAGGATAAGTTTTTCAAAAGCTTGCTGTGTGGCTTCTCGAACCCGGCGGTCATGGTCCTATTCAAAGTACAAGATGGTTTAAAATAGCTCTTGCCCATTAAAACAAATACAGGTAATTCTGGATATGCTATGATGACCCATTAATAAGAATTCAACTATGTACAGAGCTACGCTAAAGTCAGTTACTATGTGAAGTAATTGACTAATTTTTCCTTTCCCCTTCTCCCAATGAGAGAAGAACTACTGTACTAAAGACAGAGTCAAGTCTAGGCCTTAAACAATTAAGCAACTGGTTCTCATTCTTCTGTAGCAAAATACAAAGAAATTAAACTGCCTAATTTATTGTGACTAGAAAGTATCTGAGTAATTCTGACCTAATTTTTGAAAGCAGAGACTCCCTATAAACTTCATACAACCCAACATGGTCCAATCTGCGGAGCAATACTGACGTAACACTTCATAATCCTCACCAAAAATGTCCTATAAACCTGACAGTCTCCATAACTTCAATAAAAAAAAAATACAACAGCCCTGGCCCGATAGCTCAGTTGGGTAGAGCATTGTCCTGATACACTAAGGTTGCAGGCTCGATCCCCAGTCAGGGCACATATGAGAATCAACCAATAAATACATAAATAAATGGAACAACAAGTTGAAGTCTGTCCTCACCCCCCACTTCCTCTCTCTAAAAATCAATTTTTAAAGAAATACAACATAAATAAGCTAGTAAAGCCTTGATACTTACAAGAGAAATTTTGCAAAAAATTCTTGGCCAGTAAGGAAGAACTCCTTTCACAATTTCTGTGTCTCTCTCTGAACACATGGTTCCAAATTCTTGCATAGCCTAAAAGTAAATTATTATCATTATTAAGTATCAACAGGCATAATATTGGCTATAGATTACATTCATTCTGCTCTACAAGTTTTGCCTGTTTATGTAATGGGAGAACACGAGGTTTTGTTTGTGCCACATGGGACTAATCTGAAGAGTTCCTTTACAGGCTAGTATGGCAGAAACTTTTCAGTTGTTTTTAAAAAATAAAATACATCATATTTTATAATGGGAAAAAAACCAATACAGCCAGAAATCTAAAGTGGTTCCAAAAAGTGCAGAGCAACACACTAATTTATAACCTACAAGGTAAGTACAAACTAAGCTTAAGTCTACGTGTCAGAAAAAAGTACAACTGTAAAAGAAATTAGTATTGATAATTCATTTCTTTACATAAAATATGCCAACTATACTTTAATAAAAGAATTATCTTAATCATTTTAATGAAAATAAAACTTGCTTTTAATTTTGTCGTGACATCTTTCTTAGAAAGTTTCCGCAGCACCATTCGGAAATCAGAATCTACAAGATTGTCTATTTCTTCAGCTCCTTGAACAGCAGGAACATAGCCTAGGTCACTCTGAAATGTTCCAAAACCAATAAATCCAGGCACGGTTCCCTGCTCTTTGGCAAGAAGTTCTGCAGCTCGGCCACTGTTTGAAGGCTGGTAAGAAAGTAGAGAAAAAACGTCACATTCCAGAAAGAGCTCAAAACTTAACACAGGCTCCTGAGCAGGCCCATGGCAATTCTACGGGAGAGCACACCCTCGTGCAAGAACCTTTTCTTTTAGCCTAAGGTTTCACTGCAATGTTCCCCAAAGGTGACTGTTTCTGTCACCAAGAAGTTACCAATAATGATCCCAGGAGCTATTTCCTGGTTTCCTAAACATTGGAAAAATGTTTCTTAAACTGGGTACAATCCATTTGTGGCTTATGCTATCAAGTTAATGAGCCATGACAGCATTTTAAAGGCAAAGAATAAATATTTAAAATCAGAGAATGCATCATGTATGGTAAGCCTAAGTACTGTTTTACAAAATGTGTTACTTCCAAGCTTTGTATAAATAGTATGTATATATACATGTGTACTGTGTAATGATGTAAAGATAACTCATAAATGGATTACATCTTTCCATTCATCCATTCATTCAACAAATACTCATTAAGCAAACACGGTGCAACAAGTCTAATGATAGCTGCTTCTAGACTAGAGTTCCTTGAGGGAGGACACACTCACTGCCACATACTCAAACCCCAGCCTAACCTCTTTGGGCTAAAATGGTCACAAATTATATTATCATGGACATAAAAATCAATGCGAAGGTCATAAGATACATGACTTTGTTTTGAGCCATGATCAGTGGTCTGACAGACTGATACACAACGTAGCAGTCTCCTAGTTCCAGAAGTTAAGGGATTAGTTGTGACAAAACATTTGAACTGTTGAAAGAAATTAACATATTGTATCTAACAGGAAAATGTCCAGGATGACACAACTCATCTAGACAACTCATCTAAACTCCTTTGTTTCTTATTCCTCTGTCAGAATGTTCATAGGGTTAGCCAAATGTGTAATTCGATCTACTCATACCCAGCGAAACTGTACGGAAAACTTACTGTCAAGGAATAATCTGGACTACTTTCTAAATTAAACTGAGTGACCAGAAATGAAAATGATGGCCTGAATCACACTTTTTCAAAAAAGAAGCATGTAACACTAATTGCAAAAAGGCTATTTTAAAGCTTTATTAAAATGAACATTATTCAATTTGTCTTTCTCAATATTGATACATGAACAAAGAGCGACAAAGAAAGTGAACTACAATATAATTCTGAAAACTAAATGTGATAACCTTAGGACATCAAATTTCATCTATAACCCCATTTGTAAACAGCTTTATGATGAAACAGAATAATGAAGTAGTATAAAAATAACTATCGCTAAAAGCTAAAGGAATCAAGGCTGAATTCTGAACTGACCTGAATTATCAGAGTTGGACAGCGATAACTGGGAGCAGGAGAAAAAATATCAGAGTTCCAGTTTCCAAATTAAAAGTAAATTATTTTTAAATGTGCTGTTTATTTTATTCAATGTCTACTTTGAGTTTAAAATACAGTTACTATTTCTTATTACTTACTCTATCGTATGTTAGATGTTTATACCCACAGTTCAAAAATCAAGAACCTTGATTGTTTCTGGTGGTTAATTTTCTTATACCACACCTACTTCATTCCTTTGCGCTTGTCTTCCAGAGGTACTTGAGTGGCAAGCTTGAATCTACAATTTAAATACCAAACTCAGAACAGATCTTTCAACAGCTGGCTTCAGCTGTTTCCAGTCTGTTCTTCTACCACCCTTTTCTTCCCTTTCCTCAGCTGGGCTGCCATGATTATGTTCCAGTCCCAAATCTGAATTCAAGGATTCCTGAATATGCTATGCCTTTTCATAATTCGGTCTTTGCATAATATCTTCTCTCCACCTGAAAACCTCTCCTTCCTTTTCATTACCTGACAAACTCCTACTCATCCTTCAAAAGCTCACTCATCTTTTCAGTATCTGCCTCCCTCAGGTCAATCATTCTCTTCTGTTCTCCCACTTCCTTTCTACTAACACCTCTTATCATAATTCTCTAATACATTATAATTATTTATATACTTATCTGTCTCTATCATGAAGAGGGGACATTTGTCTGGCACCTTTGAACACATGACATTCAGGATTCAATGACTGCCACTCAAATCCCAACTCTGCAACTTCCTGACTGTAAGTTAATTTCTTAAGCTTCTGTCCCATCATCTTTAAAAGGAGGTAACTGTAGCTAAAACCTTATTTGGGTTGTCAAGATTAAAGACACATTTCTAAACCACCACAGTAATAATTGATTCCAGTCATCATCACCAAGGAGTGAGTCTGTGGGGGAGAACAGGACATTCCCAGTCTCAAACCAGCACTTAACATATTGTTAATAGCCAGTGGACAAAGCTCTCCAAGCGATGAGACGAACACCAGCAACGGGACAAACAGGCATGGGTCTCCCGCTGCGACGCGGAGAGTCATTCCGTCAAAACGGTTTAACCTGAATCGAGTCATAAGGAATCAGACAAATCTAAATTAAGCAAAAACTGGCCTAGAGGCTTCCAAACAGTCGATGTCATAAAAGAACCTTCCCCCAGGAAAAACAAAAACGCTGGGAAACTGTCAAGATCTAAACAACTAATGGGAGTGGCTATAGCACTGGGATGCTTTTTGAACGCTATGGCTAAAAATAACGTTATAGGGGACAGTGCTGAGGCGGCCACAGAAATCTGAAAACAATGCTGCGTTATTGGCCAAAAAGCACTGCGCTTAAGCTTCCTGGCGGTCCAGCCGCTCGCGGTTACGTAGAAGGGCGTCAGTTTTAGACGGCACGCGGAGCGCTTAGGAGCTGTCATCATTTCCGCGAGTAAGTCGACGTCCACGCCTGGAGAGCGAGAGCAATTAACCACCGGCGAGTCTCCGTAAAGAGCGTGCTGTCGCCGTACTATTGCTCCCTAAAATATTTCCCTCACATTTGAAACAGAACCCAGAACATCCTTTCAGTAAAAGGGTCCAGGCGCCGCGAGGGTCCGCGTGGCTGCGGGAGGGACCGGGGCGGAGGCGGGGGCGCGAGGGCTTC